TTGGCGTCAGACGTGCTGGATGAGGAGAGAGCCCGGCTGTTGGAGTTGGCGCGGCAGCGGGCGCTATCGGGCGCCTGGTTACGAGAGCAGCAGCGGGCACGGGATAATAAAGAGGGAAGCCGCTTGTGGACTGAAGGAGAGAGACAGCAGCTCCTTTCAACGGGGAAAGTGCAGGGGTACGACGGGTACTACATTTTACCAGTGGAACAGTACCCTGAATTAGCAGACAGCAGTTTCAACATTCAGTTCCTGAGACAGAATGAGATGGGCAAGAGGTAACAGTCCAAATCGTTTTCTTTTCCTGTTTCTTTATATTTTGCTTCTCTCTCTCCGCTTATACCTTTACAGTTTTCAGTTCTGTTTTCTCTATCTTTTTCTCTATCTTGCTTCGTCTTTCTCTTTTTCCCTCACTTTCTTTCCGTTATCTCCTGCACCCATGGAGAACAATTGAACTAATGGGGAAACTCACAGAACGCTGCAGGGACTTTTAAAAGAAGAACACTCAAAAAAAAAAAAAAAAAAAAAAAACTTGTTAATACTGCCTCTGGCAAAAAACAAAACAAAAAAAAACAATTTGAAAGACCTCGTCTTTGTTTTTCAACAATGGACGTCAAAAAGCACTGATAAACTGAAAAACAAAACAGAGCTACTGTTGCTGAAATATGAAAAAAATCCCCTTTTTAAAAAAGAATAGATATTTTTACCCATATTTTTTGGGTCACTGAGAGGATGTTGGTGCCAGATGGTACCCTTGTGATGGTGCGATCCGGAATCAGAGAGGTGCTGCGAGTCTCACGCACCCCTGGAGAGGTCAAACTGAGGAGTAACATCCGTCAAGACAAATAGCAGTCTCAGGCCTCATATTCTTCACAGCTAAACTGTCAATTGCCACTGCAGCATATTCCATCGTCTACAGACTGTTTCTTCAAGAGAATTCCAGTGGAGTAAAAGTGATGAGAAAATCCAAGTCAGACATAGTTTGTTTTTATCACTGATAGAGAAGTACTTGCATTGTATCAGATAACAGTGAAGTTCTGAGTGTGCTTTAGATGCGATAGTTTTGTATGTCCCAGTCGCATTAGAGTAACGAGACCTTCACCAAGGCACTTCTGTATAGAGATATCAGAAGAAAAAAAACACTCACAGTCTCCAGATTGCAAGGTTACTAGTGTCAGAAACTATTTATTTTTACTTGGTTTGTTTTCTTTTTTTTATCATTCATAGTACTATATGACAATCATAAAAGGAGTCACCGCTTTTAGCTACAAAGATAAACATTAATGGTTGAGTTTATTTTCCTTTGTATGATATGTAATAATTTTTTTCATTTTTGTATTACATTTTCTTTTTTTGCTGCAAAGCAAATTCTAGTCATGCACAGAAATAATTTATGTAAAGTGTTTTAAAATGGTTTATACTTTAAATAAAGTTTAAAAACTGTGAAACTTGTTTTTCAAAATATATCTGTATGTACAGTGTATAGATTTACCTTTATGCGGCACAGTAGAATATTGTTCATAATATCAACTTTTATATTTCTAACAGAAGGTGGCTTGTTATGTGCGAATCAACAGCTGGTATTAAAACACTAGAATTTCGTGACACTCAGATATCACAGATGAATAATATCGATGCCCCGTTTGATGTTCTGTTTTAGTTTTGTTTTCATGCAGAAAAGTTGCTGTACTAGAACCCAAACCATAGAAATGGATTTTTTTCCACTGTGAAGAGACTCATTATGGATGTCATGATGTACCAAATCAGTATTGAGGGATGATTCTTACTCAAGTGAGACTCTTCTGAGACCTTACCAATAAATAGTTTAATTCATGCGAGTCTGACTAGTCTCATGTATTTGTGAATATGTCTTCACATCTGTACTGCTGTTATAACATGTCATTTCTCCACAGCTCATGGGGTGGACAATTTCTTTCCCTATCTTTCCCTTATTTCTTTCCCTTGAACATGTCATATTGTAATACCACGGTATTTTTTTTAACCTGTATAGTATTACCGTCTGATACACCGTTTGAAGGAGATTCTGACATCACATAATTATGGTTTGCAGCAGTATAACCTGAAAACTAGTAAAAGGTGCTTTGATGGAAATGGTAAAATTAAGTGCTGCCTTTACACAATCACTCCAAGTGAGCTAGAGATTATAAATATAGTTCATAATCACCAACACACACTTTCTATTAGTAATGATAATAATCATTATCACTAGCCTAGTTCATAATCACCAACACACATAATGATTTATTATAACGATTGATATTTTTTGTGCCTTATTTTTTTTTTAAAGATGTAGGCCTAGTGAAATGTGTGAATTTGGTGCAATACAAATTGAAAGAATAAATGAATGAAAAAAATTACCAAAGGCGTTTACACACAAATAACAGCAGGCTATTTCTTGACACATGATTTGTTTTCAGTATTACGATTGAAATCATGACACAAGATTAGTGATAATAATGTATGTTTTATGTGGGAATCTTGGGTTTTCGAATTTAAAGTGTTTCTTGTGCCACAATCTAAGCAGACTTTTATTTTGAAGCTACGGGTCTTTTACTATGAAGTTAACTGAAGCTACTGGAGGAGGTGAGCTTTTAGGCAGTGCCTTTTACACAACCACGCATATAAACATTGAATGACAAGGAAGGATGAAATTCACCTGGTGAATTGTCTTAATCTTTTCAACATGGCAAGCAGCGGTAAGTTTTTTTTTTTTTTTCATCTACAGTAAGTGTAAGCAATATACTTCTAGGGAATTAAAGAAAGAGGCGTGAGAAACTTCAGGCGTTTTCTTCTTTCACTATTTAAACAATATGAGCACCTGTTTTCGTTCTCTGTTGTTGTCAGGGTGACAGTCCCCAGGTGCACTTTGATAAACATTTCGTTATATCGATATTTTATTACTTACAGTAATATCAAGATGAACGTTTAATATGTTTGCTAATATTATGTGTAACGTTAGGCTATTTCCTGAATCCTAATGCTCGCCTGCTGTCTTATTTGTTATGTTCGTTGTTTTTTCTTGTGACGTAATGATGACTTGCACAAAGTAAAACATGATTGTGGTACAACATTTTTTTTTTTTTTAAATGATTGTGGTACACGTTCTGATTTGTTACGATTTAATTTGCATAATATGCCAATAATTTTTTTTACATATAAAAACAATATTCTGGAAAATATACAGCCATCGAAACAATTTAAACATTACAAAAGAAACAAAGGAATAAATAAGTGTTTTTTTCTTTTGTATCTTGGTTACCTTGTGGTTACTGGTTTAAATTATTATGATGGCTGGATAAAAATTTTGTATTTTTATAATACAAAATCTATTTAATAAATTAATTAATTTTCTTAAGTAAAAGTGAAAAGGCTGTTATATGAGATATACAGTATCATCATAATCAAATCATTTTCATTGTCACTTGAAGGTGCAATGTGTAATATTTCTGAGGATCTATTGACAGAAATGCAATATAAGATCCATAAATAAATGTGTTCAGTGGTGTATACAGACCGCTATGAACCGTTAAGACCTCAATGAACCATTATGTTGTTACCTTAGAATGAGACATTTTTATCTACATAATCGCGGGCACCCCCTTCTATGAAGGTCGACATATTGTGATGTCATATTTCTACCGTAGCCGACAGCGAACAAACAGCTCTACAGAGTGTGTTTCGTTCATAACTTGAAAGAGAAGCCGCAGAAAGCAAGAAGCTAGCCATAGACACTGGTCAGTGGTGTAAATTATGTACTGTAGTTGGATTGTTTCATGTAACTAGTTCTTCTCCCTTGCTGTGTTATGGCATTGACAATCAGCTGATTAGTGCTATTGACCATAAAACAGTAACGTTACAGGAGTCACCAACCCGATCTTGGTAGCATTTTAAGTCAATCGTGAAGAGTTTTCAAAACCAGAGAAAAAAAACAGTATTTTTATTCATTATTACTTATTAATTTGTGTGTAGTAAATGGTGTTTTTATTGTCTGATGTCTATTACTCAGGTCAATCAACAGTGTTTACTACATGACAGGTATGTAGACTTAACTGCATTTCCTTTTACCTTATTTCCACATCCCTCTCTACTGTAGATAAGGATATCTCTTACAGTGATCTCAAATCTTTATTGGAGAAGGGCTCTGGGTTTGTGGTGGATGTGCGCACAAAAGAGGAGGTAGACCGAGGGCGTATTCCAGGCTCCATACACATTCCAGGTGAGAGGAAAGATGCACAATCATAATTTATATAAAGTGCAATATTTTAATTTGGATGTAGGCTACTTAGTTTTAAAGGTTACTACACAAAGCACATTTTTTAAGGTATGCATTGTTTTGTTTGTTTGTTTTTTTTACACAATGTTGTACAATAAGTGGATTGGCCAAGTGTATTGAAACATGAGCTTTTTTTTTTTTTTTTGGTCCAATTTATTTTAGTGGAAAATGTAGAAAGTGACATGTCCCTGGACGCAGCTGAATTCCAGTCTAAGTTTGGCATAGTTAAGCCGTCTTTGGACTGCTCTGAACTGGTTTTCCACTGTCAGATGGGAAGACGTGGAGCTGTTGCCACAGAGAAAGCCAGAAGCCTGGGGTTTAAATGGTTAGAAACTTGCCAATGCAATTTTTGAATGCTTAAACATGCAAACTAGGGTTTTGCTGAAACTGTAACACTATTTACTTCTCTCTCTTCAGTGCCCGGAATTATGCTGGGGGCTACAAGGAATGGTCTGAAAAAGGGGGCAAATGACGATCTTCAAAACGCTTAAAAGATTCTATCTTAAAAACACAGATCAGGGACCTTTTTTTACTCTTAAACAAATTAATGATAAAATCTAAATAGCCTATGTGTACATGTGTTTTAATAAAGTCTGATGACTAAAAAATAATTGTTGTTCTTGTCTTGGCTGTTTTACAGTGCATGAAATAAAATGAAAAGGTATATTCGGTCCATACTGTTTCAGATTTAAAATCCGATGATTCAGTTACATTGTTTCCGATACTTTTCCTCTTTTAATTGAGCATGCGCAGATTGCGCACCAGCCTTCACTCCGAAGCAGCAGAAATTCTCAATCAGTGAAATTTTGATATGATATGCTGCTAATGGACACTTATAGTGATCTCTGTCAATCGTTCGGGTAATATTGTGCGCTTACTCCTTTTTCTCTAAATGATTGGATGTAAAGATGTGAAACATACGCACACTGTATGATAAGTCGATTGTTTTAACCATGCCTGATTCAGATAAGTTCTAGCAGTTATTGGAGAACGTAACGTGAAAACTGCTGTAGTTATGATGATGACTTACATAAGCTCTCCATACCTAGTGTGCCCCTCTGGGTGGGGCCGTTGCTGCACGCGGCCTCCAGGCTGAAGACCGACCGGCTGAAACGAAGAAAAGTTTACCGTTTAATCCAGCGTCATTTAGTAAGCGTCACCTTGAATTTTAATCTCAGTTTTACTATATTTTGGTTAATCTTAACGTTATGTTGACAGCTGAACAACAGAGTCGGCTGCAGCACTTGTGACAAACCCACATATGTGTACCCAACTGAGCTCAAAGAGATGGTCCGATCTGCCTTTCCAAAGGATATCCGTGACTATGACGACCCCTGTCACCAAAATGTGAGAGATCGATTAAGTTGATGCTCGTTCTTATAGATTTGCACTCAAACAGCCCATTGATAACAACAGATTCACTTTTGTTGCAGGTTGTTGCCCTCACAATGGAAGACTTTAAAATTATGGAGTCCTCTAGTTCTGGGACGGATTTACCAATTAAACTGCAGTTGCAGTAGCCTAAATCTAAGTGTTCAGAATTGTAGGCTGTGTGTTATGTCCATAAAATAATGTAAGTTGTGATAATGTACGATGTTTAAAGTAGACTAACTTTATATAGGCGTATATAAAATAGTTAGGTTTCCTTAAATATAGGCTATACAGGCTTTTGTAATATTTGTTCTATACATTGTTTAATGTTAAATGGCTATCCTCATTTATAATGTGTGAGTTTGCGTTTCACTGCAAAACCTATCCTTTGCGTAACTGACGGTAATGTACTGCATAAAAATGTAAAGTGCATAAAATAGTACTTATCTTAAACTTTTGTTCTAGTATTATTTGATTAGAGTTTAATGTTGTTAGAAGTGCATGACTGTGACAGTCCAGCACTGAATAGCTAATTGGCCCGCTGGACACCATGACAACGAACACACAACCCGCGAACACTTCGAGTTAATTCTATTAGCCTACTGACTGTTTAACACAAGGCACACACACAATTCGAGGTAAGTTTATATTGAGCCATATATAATAGTGAAAGTATACTGCATACACTGTAGGCTATCTGCTAAATGCAATCATATCGTGATGATCTGGGTAAACTAGTTTGTACAGCTGCACTCATGTTTCCACATTCAGATCTTTTTGTATTCCTTTTCTTCCATAAATGTTGTGTATCATTTTAGAAAATGCCTCCAGAAGGGAAATCTGACATGGAGCGGATTGGCATCTTTAAAGAGTTGGGATACATCTCAATAGGGGACAAGTATACCTCTTTTTTTAACCGTAAGTGTAACAAACATAATAAACTTATATTAGTAACTAGTGGGTGGCGCACAGGCGCAGTGTGAGTTTGTTGTGTAGTGCATCAAACACGGTAACTTGCTTCAAAATAAAATGTTCATGCTCACTAAAAGCTGTCACTGGAGCGGTACCTTTTTGAACGCTTATTTGTTTCCTCATAGTTACTATAGCCTACACTTTAGGTAGGCTACTAATATGTTGGCCTACCTTTAAAGTACGCTGCACTCTTTGGCATATGGCAATATCGGAAATAAACATGATATTTCCTTTAAATGATGTAGCTTGTAATTTTTTTATTTATTTTTATTTATTTATTTATTTTTTATTATTATATAGGCCTAAATGACCAGTTGGAGCCGCATAGTAGCTAACAATAGCCTACAGCCTTTTAGCAAACAGGTTACCATGTCAATTCTGGGGTAACACTTTAGAATACTGTTTACTTACTGCATAACTAATAGAGAATTATTGAAGAACTAGGTCATTCTTCATTAACTACTTCACTACTGTTGACTAATAAGGAAGATGTGTTAGCTAATCAAGATGTAATATAATTTTATGATTGTGTCAAGTAACTGTTAGTAAATCAATAACTAATGAATTGACCTTATGCACAGATGCACTACTTCCTGAACTTAAGCCAGCTCCTTGTTTCCTGTCTGCCATTATTGTCCGAACTCCGAACTTGATTAATTCAGGTCTGATTATTCTGTCTGATTATTGTTGCCATGACTACTGAGGTCAGGCACACCTGGTTTAATCAATTTGGCCAATAATGGCAGACAGGAACCAAGGAGCTGGTTTAAGTTCAGGAAGTAGTGCAGCTGTGCATAAATTCCATTCTGTCATTCCTCCTGAAGATCTACTATTAATTAGCTATATTCTTCTAATTAATTAAACTTAGGCCTAATCCTGACTTAATCTAAGACCTGTCAGTGACAAATAATAAAGCCCCCTGTTTCAGCATCAATTATGTTTAGCATAAACCTGTGCTGAACGATTTCATCTTTTTGAGTTAAAATAAATCAATCTTTAATGTATTTTCTACATTGTCACTGTGACTGTATCGTGTTCACTAATTTATCTAACAGTCATTAAAAAATATGATGCAAGCAATACAGTACAATAGTAGTTTTTGTATAATGTAAACATATTAATGTTTAATATGTTATGTGTGTTTAATGCATTTTGTTGTCGCTTAAAGGCCCATTTAATGACTCCGCATACAAGAACAAACAGATGCTACCAGGAGGAGTTAAATCAAAGTCCGCACTTCAGACTGGATACTTCGACGCACAGTATAAGAGGATCTTTGAGAGAGAGGCGCTCGCAGACCCTGTCAAAATGGCCAGACAATACAAAATACAACAGGCCAAAAAGAACATAGGCAAAGCCTTTCTTCCCAGCAACGGAGAAAAAAAAACGTAAGTCCTCCTTTCTTTCTGTGGTACACAACTGTTTAATAAATTATTTTTATATAGTATTCAATGATAAATAATTGTGAAAATATAAGAATTGAAAATATTTGTATTAGTAGTAGTTACAAGAAATTACAGGGATAATTGCCCCTTAAAAACTGTCATAATTATTCTAATTTTGTTGCAAACCTGTATGGCTTTCTTTCCTTTAACAGAAGAAAGTCATACAGATTTGAGTGACATGAGGGTGAGTAAATGAAGACATCTTTTTTGGGTGAATTATCCCTCTAATATTCGGTAGCTTTATTGAACCTAGTAATAAAGTGTTCCCCACTGGTGTAAAGAATATCCAGAAAGATATATTGAATCTGTACAGTAAGGAGAACAAAGTTCAACCCGAGATGTATATGTTTCGAGGCTATTTCATTAGTGTGACAATTGGCAAGGTCTTTTAAAATCTAAAGGCATGAAAAAGACCACAGTACCTAGATTTTGTTTAACAGGGGAAATGCTTTGTGCTTTACCCAAAACATGATAAAGTCCTCTTTTTTTTTTTTTTCAAATACAAGGATTTCACCATAATGCAATAGTTCAAAGCATCAAATGCAAAGAGTCTTTTTCATGTGCATCTGAGAGAATGCATAAAAATACACAAAACCTTAGAAATAATACCTTTAGTGAGCCATTAAGGCTGCTAGTCACAGAACTGCATTTAGATGTGTGTGTGTGTGTGTGTGTGTGTGTGTGTGTGTGCGTGTGTGTGTGTGTGTGTGTGTGTGTGTGTGCGTTTGTTTTGTTTTCCCAATTTATACCAGAAAAAATACTGCCATGCAGCTATCATTCTTTATAGTCTTTACAGTTGCTTAAAGGAGTAGTTCACTGCTGATTTACTCACCCCCATGTCATCCAAGACGAAAACATTGATGAAAACATTCCAGGATTTTCTTCATATAATGGACTTCATTGGGAACCATACGGTTCAAGGTCCAAATGAGAGTTTCAGTGCAGCTTCAAAGGGCTTTAAACGACACCAGACGATGAATAAGGGTCTTGTCTAGGACCCTTCGAGTAATGACTCGGAAAAAAAAAAGATTTGTTAATTTTGATGAACGAGTTTGAACAGGAAAGTCACGAACGCTCATCACAGAACACAGCAAGGCGAGCATTTGTGCTTATAAAACTTCAACTTTTTAATTTATTTTCGAAATGACAGATCGTTTTGCTAGACAAGACAACCCTTATTCGTTGTCTGGTATCGTTTAAAGCCCTTTGAAAGCCCATTTGGACCTTGAACCATTTGGTTCCTATTGAAGTCCATTATATGGAGAAAATCCTGGAATGTTTTCATCAAAAACCTTAATTTCTTTTCAACTGAAGAAAGAAAGACAAGGACATCTTTGATGACATGGGGGTGAGTAAATTAAGTAAACTAATTCTTCAATAGTTTTCTCTAATTTGTAGATGTGGGGTGGGCAGCTATTATGGGACAATTGGGGGTCCCATTCAAGCAATGAGTGCCCTACAGATTCCAAGGAAACAAAAAAAAGCAGCTGGGAAAAACTTCTACACCAATCCACCCAAGAAGGGAAATTCTGGGTAAGCAAATCCTTTAATATGCAAGTGTCTGTGGTTTTGCTGTCAGATGTATTGATTTGTACTTGTTCCCTAATAGCTATCCTGACATCACTCTCTCCAAGATGGTGTCCTATTCCTCAGACCCCTATGATCGAGCCAAGGAAATGCTAAAGGTATTTTTAGGTCTACTTAAATTAGATTTTTTTTTTTTGATCAGGCTCCCAGGTCCTTGTTTTAATTAAGACAAGGCATCCTCTGAATGCCTGAAAGTATAATTTTTTGCAAGCATACGACTGTGCTTCTTCCTCTAATGAGAGAGATAATTTGTTTACCAGCGTGAGATCATGTCACACAAATCCATGCTGAAAGGGGGAGCGTTTCGTTTGAACCTTCATCCAAATGAATGCTTTGACAGCAATCCTTTCAAATTTGACAAACCTCTACCACCTCCAAAGAAGACTGATGGGAAAAAGCACTTCATGGTGCCCTTCAAACCAAGTTCACCCAGTAAAAAGGTACATACCATGCCTAAAAGGAGAAAAAGAGGTTAGCTGTCTTATTTTGGTAGTTTGCTGAGGCATTGTATTCTTATTTTCTGCAGAATGGAGGCATGAAAGCTGGAACATTTGACTCCTACCCCAGCTACTCTGCAGAACCCTATGGCAGCAAAAAGACTAAATCAGCGATGACGAATAAGGAAGGAAAGATATTTCACCCCTCCCCTGGACCAAAGAGTACACCTGTCAAGAGCATCATCAGCCTCAATGTCAATAAGTAAGCTGGAGTCCAGAACCAAATACACCCATTTCACACTCCAAACTGTGCTTAATGCTTTGCTTAATAATAAGCATTAATATTAGTTGCTTACCAAATTCCACATGGAAAGACACTTCAGGCTCATCATAGTAATGTGCTGTAACTTCATTTTGCAGGGCTGTGAACGCCACAAACTACAATCAAATCCCCTCAGTTATGGCATATTGAGAACTTGTCATGTCTTCAGGTGAATCAATGAACATGTTCCTTTAGATGAAATTGGAATTGAAAAAAAGCTGAATTGTATTTACATCATTCTCTTAATTGATCAAAATGGACGCATTCTCATTTAGCTCATTATAATTACTATCCCAGGATAAACACTTGGTTCATAGCATCTAACAATGTTTACTTGTACAAGTCAAGTTTAAATCATGCGCATGATTTGTCAGTGATACACTAAGCCACTTGTCTAAGATCACTTGACTTATTAAACATTAAATATATTTATGTATTTTGTTTTTAACCAGCATTTAATTCAGCAAGTTCTTAAAGTTGACACATTTCTCCATTCACATTCAGAATTAGTTTTTTTATTGAATATGTTTTAGTCGCACAATTTACAGTGTGATATAATAAACCTTCAGTCTTATTAGTTTTTAAAGGTGATCATCAAAGATAACTGAGGAAATTACAGAATTATCATTTGTTAGTGAACCGTGCCTTTAAAGGAGTAGTTCACTTTTGAAAAAAACTATTGCTGATAATTTACTCACCCCCATGTCATCCAAGATGTCCATGTCTTTCTTTCTTCAGTCGAAAAAAGAAATGAAGGTTTTTGATGAAAACATTCCAGCATTTTTCTCCATATAATGCACTTCAGTGGGAACCAAACGATTCAAGGTCCAAAAGACAGTTTCAGTGCAAACTGCAAACTGTTCAAAGGGCTTTAAACGATTCCAGATGATGAATAAGGGTCTTATCAAGCGAAACAATCGCTCATTTAAAAAATAAATAACAAATTTTAAGTTTTATAAGTTTAAATGCTCGCCTTGCTCTGTTCTGTGATGCGCGTTTGTGACTCACCTATTCAAACTCGTTCATCAAAATGAATGAATCTTTTTCCGAGTCATTTGGTCATTCAACGAACAAAATGAACGAATTAACTCTGAAAAAGATTTGTTCATTTTGATGAACGAGTTCGAACAGGAGAGTCACGAACGTGCATCGTAGAACAAAGCAAGGCGAGCATTTGAGCTTATAAAACTTAAACTTTGTTATTTATTTATTGAATGAGCGATCGTAAGCTATTCGCTTGATAAGACCCTTATTCATCGTCTGAAATCGTTTAAAGCCTTTTGAACAGTTTGCACTGAAACTGTCTTTTGGACCTTGAACCGTTTGGTTCCCACTGAATTCCATTATATGGAGAAAAAATGGAATGTTTTCATCAAAAACCTTCATTTTGTTTCGACTGAAGAAAGAAAGACATGGACGTTTTGGATGACATGGGGGTGAGTAAATTATCAGCAACAGTTTTTTCAAAAGTGAACTACTCCGTTTAGTTCATTTAAAATCACCGGAATTGAAGAAAGTAAAATCAGCATAAGGAATATTCATAGAAATGTTGGTATTCAGCTGAACAAAAAGTAAAAAGAAAAAGAGTTTTGTACTGATAAACAGATTACATTGCTTATTTCTTACAGTTTATGCGTATTACCCAAGTCGCAGTGAAGCAACCATATATGCACCAAATGAAATTGTTCAGGGACAAGTTGTGAGAAAACGCACCAAAGAAAGTGATTCAATCTTTGCTGCAATTTTCTAAAATACACAGATTATGTTCAAAATATCCGTTTTTATTCTCTTCCCTTTCTTGCTTGCAAGTCACATAAGGTACGTAACATGGATTTATTCATAGTTGTTCCTAGTGCCCTGTGAAATAAGTTGGGAGTGTCACGTCAAAATCTGAACACAAGTAGACACAGAAGAGCTATTTGAATTGCATGTTAATACCAGGTGTAAACAGTAATGATATTATCACTTAAAATGCTGTGGTATACAGGGTCAAAAAGTTGCCTTGCATTCTGTTTTATAAACTTATATGTAGTTTGACGGTTTGAGCTCTATTCTTACACTAATCACATAGGGCCAATAAGGGCAAACGATACAAATTGTCTACGGTAATTTCAACTGTCAGTTGTGTGAGTTCTGAGTTTTTCCGTCCCTCTAAGCAGTGGGATATACAGTAACTAGATCATGTCCCTCAGGTGGGGTCATTCTCATTCGAGCATGGGCTTCACAGTACAACTGTCCCTCCACAAAAAAGTAGCCCTTCTGCTTCAAGTTCACACCACAGTCTGAGCACACAAAACAGGCTGGATGGCGGTACTTGTCCCGAGCTTTCACCACCGTTCCTCTGTAAGCCAGTTGTAGAAACAGTGTCATTTAATGAAGTAGTTAAAATGCATGAACACCATTCATTGTAGAAGAGTTTTCTAGAAAATCGGTAATATATTCTCAAAGAACACACCATTTGTGCGGTCTCATGCTGTACTCACACAATGCCGGTGCCACATTTATCACAGAGAGGCAGCTTCTGCAGCGAGGCTGTGGCCGCTTGTGGTTTTGACACTGGGGCTTTTACACTTCTTGTCACCATGGGCCTTGTGCCTGTCAGAAGAATGAAGGAAAGAGGTTCAGACACACTTTGGAAATGTGAAATACTCCCTCATATAAACTCATCTGAATCCAGACCATTAAATGAACAGCAGGCTCTGACTGATGTCATTAGCAGAATTGCTAAGGGATTTTTAAGTCAAATTGAGAATAACTTTGACTTCTTCATCGGTTCTACTAGCTGTAATTTCTGTCTTATGAATTCAACATTGCACCCTTCTAAAGACAGGTGGTGTAAAGGCAGCTCACCATCACTCTCGACATAGTCTTGCAGGGCCTTAAACGATCCAGACTGGCGTGGTTCGTGTGGCAGCTCATGGTCTTCTTGGAGCATTCGGTATACATGGGATTCTTCAATAGATGTCAGGGGTTTAGGGCTGAAAATGGATAAAAGGCAGATGCAGATAACGTGAAAATTACCATTCGATGGTATATGAAAGCTTGACAATGCACATTATGTGTATTAGATGGCTGTTTTGGCAGAAAGAGAAAAACGACCGAAAATATATGCTGCCGCACCGCTAAGCGTTCATCACTCAGGTTTCACTCTCGCTCTAGCCGTTATCAACATGCTCTATGCTGGTTAAACGGATCTACTATTACAGACCATTTTTCGGCACTAGTCTTTTCTGTATTAATTGCTAAGTTTCACTATCAATTCGGTACTCGCTCACTATTATCTGAAAGCATAGAACAGCCGCACACACCCGAAGGCCGCGCACATAGAGAAGACAGCACGTGAATTGATTTCTTTTTTGCATCTTTGTGTTCTTGAATGGACACATACACACAAACTTATGCCAACATACCAATCTCAGCAAGTATTCTTGTAAACACAGTCGGTTATGTCTTAAATGAATGCAAAGAGTTGAAAAAGAAATCGGATGTGTATCACTACAGTATTAGATTTGTGCATTCGGTCTTAAAGTGACAGCAATCTAGAAATACCTACTGCTAAGTCATTAATGTTAATCAAACAACAAAACACAGCTTTAACAAAGATTAATTTAAATTAATTTAATTTAAAGATTAATTTAAATCGAGTGAACACAGTAATACATATTATATGTATATAATACAGACATTTGTAATTTTTTTTTACTGTATTTAGTGTATTTTAAAATACCCACCCATTCAGTATCATTCAAATTATTGAATTTCATTCAAAAATAAGCAAATGTAATATATATATATATATATATATATGTAATTAGCATAAACATGCTGTTGATTTCCACAGTAAATAATTTTGACATGTCTCTCTTTTGACCTGTGATGTCTATATGGGACGAGGCGTTCCAGAGGGTTTAACAGCAAAAACTGCAATGTTGTGTAAATTGTAGAGCTCTCTTAATTGTGCTTTCTGCAGTTAGGCTACTTTTTTAAGTCGATTAACTTAATTAATGTTTTCTGGCTTTATAAGAGGCTAAAAGTTGCCAAGCAATTTTATCACACTAGTCTCATATAAATCCATAATGTCTGCATGTGCATTTATTTTAAACAATAGTTTTTTTTTTCATCGAGCGTTATTAAACTTGATAATTTGTGACTTAACACAATTCATATTGAGCAAAACCTATTTATTACACTCTTAGAAGAAATGGTTCTATTTAGAACCAGAAATGGTTCCATCTCCCGCTTCATACATGGAACTCCAAAATGGTTCTATATAGGACCATTTTTTGGGGTAAAAGGTTCTATTGGCCAAGTACGGAACCCCATGGTTCTGTATAGAACCCAGAGGAACCCTTTTTTAAGAGTGTATAGAACCTTTTAGCGCTGATAGAACCTATTAAGGTTCTATATAGAACCCTTTCTTCTAAGAGTGTATAAAGAAATTTCCATGATTTAATATTTTATTAATATCAGTGTCTTTTCCAGATCTGCAGAACACAACTGAAAGTTTTCCCGTTTTTCATCTATAGGAACTCTGTCAACCTGTTTTTTTAAAGCTTACTGTATCAGCATGAGCTGGTAGATTTGTAGGGGGGTGTAAAGCAAGCGTGATGGAAACAAAGCTCTGGTTACCTGGGCGATGTCTGCCTGACTACCGTGGACACCTGAGCCTGCTGCCGTGTGTTTGAAACATTGTCTGCTGAGTATAATGCAATGGGGGAGTTATACTGTGCAGAAGGAGCTGCCTTGGACCCAGCCGATGGGGTGCCAGGCATCTGAGCTACATTTCCCATCAGCGTCTGGGATGTACTGTCACTGGAATTGTGTAAGGTCAGTGTATAATAGCCAGATGAACCAAACCAGGAAGCAATCAAATCAAAGGGACCACAAAGAGAACACAGACAATGAAAAACAAGACAGAAAAGAATGGAAGAAGTAGTTAGAGATGTACATAGAGCTTCATATTGTGCTTCTGCTGTATTATACATCAGCAAGTTTGTTCTTAGTTATATGAATGTAAAATATAATAATTCTACTGGGATTATGTGACATATATGACTACATGCAGGGTGCTTTTTGTCTAATGACCTCCTTTGGCTTGCAGTTGTGAAGGGCTTTGGTCTGACATTAAACTTGTGTTCGAAGTAATCAACGTCCTGTAAGACATAAGAGTGAAGATGTTAATAGACAGGTGAAAAGAGCAAAAGTCCCCCAAGACCCAGCACTGCAGGCCCAAATGTGGATATTTGTCTGCTATTATGTTGGATATTCTATCCAAATGCTTATATTCAGGCTGCAGGAAGTCGTGTGGGGACTTCTGCCGTGTGTTAGTGGTAAGTGGGCAGCCGGTCTACAGCAAGCAGAGGGAAGTGTCTTAGTCCATATGGCTGGGGTGATCCAAGTTGGCACTCACCCCTCAGGCTTTTCATGCACTAGACCCCGGATCTGTCCTTTCAGGGCGTCCTGGATGTTATCTTGAGAGTAGAGGCCTATGGGAGTGTTGTAGGCGGAGCTCACCACCTGTGTTTTGTCATCCAGACTGGCGGCAGCCACAAAGGGCTGTGCTCTTCTGTTATGACCTGTGCCAATAGGTTTATACTCCTGCATATGTAGGACAGATGGACACACTACATACTTAAAGCCCCACACAAACACCCAACGCATTCTTATCCTTTAACGTTTAACGTCATATAGAACGCTATATGACAAAACGGCGCTATACTACGCACATGGCACCCGTTATCGTTAATATAACACGTGCTGTGAGGGCTAAGTTTAGGTGTGGGGTAGGGTGTGCGTGTCATATTCACGCTAAAGGATTTATAACGTTTTGGGTTCGCGTGTTATATTAACGATAAAGGGTGCCATGTGCGTAGTATAGCACCGTTTTTGCATATAGCGTTCTATATGACGTTAAAGGATGAGAACGGGCTGAAACACCACATTCTTCAGATGTGTCTTTTTGTTACCTAAATGTGCGTAACTTCTCGAACAACTTTCATTATTTAATGGTTCCATTTTAGTGTGGTTTGTGTGCATGTGCGTTTGTGTAAGTATATCTATATGGCTTTATTTTAATTTATATTGTGTTGGAAAAGGGCAAATCTACCTTTGCTCAAACAAAACATAGCAGTCTTGCACAACTTTTAAAAGGGTTACTCCACCCAAAAAGGAAAATCCTGTAACACTTTATTTGAAGGGATGTGCATAAGACTGACATGACACTGTCATAAACATGATGGAGTCTTTATGAATGTTAATGACTGTTGTCATTAAGTGTCATTCGGTACATTTATGACAGTTTTAATGCAAAGTTGACATTGTTTAAAATGTCTTTGTTATGACAACTTGACATTAACCAAGAAATCATAACCTGTTACAAATATGTAATAACAGGTCTAATTATCAAACTTAAAAAAGTTATTTAGCTTTGTGTTAACATTGCATTACCCTGTCCCTGTCATATGTAATGGTTGGTTTTAACTTTGGTTGTCATGACACCATTATAACTGTGACGTGAATATTTTACTTGTCCTCAAGTGGAAAACATTGTACTATAAAGATGTCATTAAGGGTTATTACACTGTCAAATGCTTTAACAACAGTGTCATTAATATTTCCCCTTACCTCAAGTAAAGTGGAACACGTTGGACTAGTTATGATTTCTTGGTTAATGTCAATTTGTCATAACAAAGACATTTTTTGTCTTTGTTAATGTCAAGTTGTCATAACAAAGACATTTTAAACAATGTCAACTTTGCATTAAAAGTGTCAATGTACCGAATGACGCTTAATGACAACAGTCATAAAACATTCATAAAGACTCCTTCATGTTTATGACAGTGTCATGTCAGTCTTATGTACACCCCTTCAATCAACCATAGCTTTTGGCTTATTGTTGAGAGTTCATGAGTTCCCCCTTTATGTAAACACCCGCACATTATGCAACTCATGCGAGAAGTGATTCGGAAGCACAGAGGAGCAACAGTTCTTGCTCAAGTGCTTCACAATGCGTTTGCGTCAATATTAGATTTTTTCCACACACACCTACAGTATCTTTATACATATAAAGTATACAGTTTGTGTTATACACGAGAAAGAAAGACATACATCTGGCACAGCATGAGTAAATGATGATGAGACCATTTTCATTTTTGGGTGGAGTATCTCTTTAACATGCCTCATGCATATTTTCTTAAGAAAAAAAAAGTCTTTAATTATCCATTTGATTGCTGCATATTATAAGCATGTTATTACACTTACTTGCTTATCTGCTTCCAAATTGATTTTGAATGGGTTTACTTGCCCCTCTTCTATAACCTTAGGTGACCACAGTTTAGTTTCTGGCCTGCAACACATAATGCACACACTTAGACATGATGTACTCGCTTCCTGTGAAACTGTAAAAAAAGATCAAAGAGCACTAGGGAGGGTCATTACTGGGCAACACGACCATGACCTCTTCTAGATAGTAAAGTAACGTCAACAGCCTGGCATGTACGAGCCAGATGGTTTATAGGAGGGTATTAATCACAGAGGAAAGACACATTCAACTTTGTCATAAATAAAGCTCTGTGGTTACTGGTTACTGATGGACACTTTTATAGCAAGGGTTAAAGACACATTCTTTTTGGACTTTTGCTTACAGTTCTCTGTAACTTTAAAAGGAGGTGAAAGAACATGATATAAAGTTGTTGAAAGACGCCTACCTCTGTTTGTAACGCTATCCTTTAATAAGAAAAGCTCATGGTACCTCTCTATCTTGAGGAAAAGCTGATTGGTGGAGTCTTTGATCTTGTTCTGAGCTTCAGCATGAGTCACACCGTCTGTGGACTCTCCCTGGATGGCCAGGATGATGTCTCCGGGACACAGGTTGACCCGAGATGCCTTACTGCCTGGGGTCACCTGAAAGCAAGAACCTTTTTTGTTTTAGTGAATTAATAATTCATGATAAAAATGGTATACACGTTTTTTGTTTTTGTTGTTTTTTTCAAAATCAAGAAACTAAAATGAATGGAACATTTCTTAGACTTAGATAAAAAATTCTTACTGCTTTAAAGTATTTCTTTTATTATGAGCCCATTTCAGTGACATCTAGATTTAATGTAAATGGGTGTGGTTTAGGATGGTGGGCTTCTACATCACTTTGGACAAATATGCTAAATGGTAAAAGCATTCAAATTCTTATCAGATCCGAACCTTTTTTTTAAAGTCACCGTAAGTTTCCAGCAAACCATGGGACAGATTAGACCTAAACAGAAAGTGACAGGGGTAGAAACAATCTGTTGACCCTCTGGTTTAGAAGTGGACTATAAATAGCACAGCGTGGATATGTCAGTCAAGGCCATGTATCGCCCTCGGGGGGAACACAGTCAGGCCTATTCGTGGTTGATGATCTGACTGTTCTGGCATTCACCCTGCAGCCCGGTGTTTCTCTGCCCTCGCCCTCCATCATGATCTCTTTCATTAATGGAGTCTGACATCATTCCTTACTCCTCTCATCACTGACGGGCTCATTTTCTTAGGTATTCTCATTGTCCCATTAGTCGTTTATCTCATCACCTCGTCCTGTGTGCAGGTCTCGTTCTACCTGTCTCCTCCTGACTCAGCTGCTCTGTTATATCCCAATACCGCTAACTTTCTTCTATATGGGTTTGCCTCTCAAGAGGGGAAGATTTATGCCAGGTCAACTCATGCCAGTTATTTAAGACCAGAGGGTTTTAGTTTCCCATCATCAGTGCTTAATGTCATGAAGATTTGTGATGTTTTATTTCGAATGCATAATTTATTGACTGATGAAGCTAGCAGTGATTAAGCATATTTCCTGTCAAATAACAGTCACGGTGTAATATTTTATTTCCTGATGCCTTTCTCACTTTGTGCACACAACAAAATCATCTTTGTATGTCTGTATTTTCTAGAGAGAATACATCTTTGATGATGTCATTCATTGATCTCTGGCCATATTTAAGGCAACAAACGGAAAAAAAAAAACCTAGGCTTTATTTCCCCTGTAGACATCTATTATCGGCGCGTCTGCAGAAAGGTTGACTGTGAAGAAATAAGCAACCAAATTGTTCAGAATGGACACAATGAAAATGAGATTGTTCCCTTGACACTACTCAAGCAAATGGAGGATGTGTTTGGCTGAAAAACAAAGACACTCTGTTTAATAGATGGAAACAAATGGAGCTATGAACTGAGATGAAACCATCGAGTGACTGGAATCTGAGCTTCAGTATAAACAGAAACATGAATATAACATATTTTTATATATATATATATATATATATATATATATATATATATATAAGCTATGTAGCACCTGTGCAGAAAAATCCCCAAGGTGACACAAACCCACAAGAGAAGCATGTAAGGGCAAGCTGAGCATTAGACATTATGTTCAGAGCAACATCAGACAGAATAAATTAAAGTGATTGTTCACCTAAAAATGAAAATGTATCCTCACGCCATTCCAAAGCCATGATTTCCTTTAGTTAAAAAATGGGTCAAAAACAACATCATTGTCTAAGTTTCAAAGTATCTTCTTTTTTGTACAGCAGCTATTTCGTTATTTCTTTTTTTTTTTCTGCCGACTGAACCTACATGGAAACCGACACAAGGGTGATTAAAGGGATACTCCACTTTTTTTGGAAATAGGCTCATTTTACCACTCCCCCAGAGTTTCACCGTTTTCAAATTCAGATGATTTTTTTGATATTTAGAAGAATATCAGTAACCAGACAGTTTCTGGTCTCATTGAATTCCATAGTTGGAAAAAATATAGGCCTATATATATACTATGGAAGTCAACGAGACCAGAAATTGTCTGGTTATACTGATATTCTTCTAAATATCAAAAACAAATCAGCTGAATGGATTCGAAAATGGTAAAACCCAACTGTTTAACTCTAGGGGAGTGGTAAAATGAGCCTATTTCCAAAAAAAAAAAAAAAAGTGAAATATCCCTTAAAATGATCAAATTGAAAAAGCTCAAGTTTGATGCTTAACCATGAACTATCCCCATCATGCTCTTTAGCAAAAAACTAAATCCCAGGTTGTTTCAGAAGGAATGTCCCTGTAATAAATGTATCGTGTCGCTTTCGGTAAAGTATCTGCTAGTCATTTGCATTTTTAATTCAACAGTATAATTTAGGCAGTCGGATTTGGCTCCTCATAAAAGGCCCATCTGTGCTGGCATGCCCGCATTGATGGAGGCTAATGTTACTCAAATAAGAACATCAGGGCTCAGAGAATGAGGAAAAAAAAAACACCTTGCTGGCATCAATATGTGTATGATTACAGACAGCGGTTATACAAAGAAACCACACACATTCTGTATTAGTCATCTGTATGCTTGAAAACATGATATATTTAGCTTTCAGGTTCTGGGTATAGACATACACAAAAAATAAGTAATACTTATTCTAAGCCAAATTATGTTTGAGCTGGTTTTGTTGTTTTTGTTTAAAATCAAATCCAATGTCATTTTCACGTGGATGACGTGTCTAAAGCCATTATTTGCAAGGAATGTTAAATAAACCTGATTAGTTTATTTTAAGAATGACATCATTCTGTTCAGCTGAGACTTCACGTTTATTTCACCTGGAAGTTTATTTTCCCCCTAATGTGGCCAAAACCAGTGATCAATCATTGAAAAAATATATTATATTATTTTATGCCATCTTATATCAGCACTATGCTATACATCCAACAACTTTTTTCCTGTTGTTGTTTTTTTTTTTTTTTTCAATTCATATTTCGTAAGACCTGCAGTTCTGTTTCTAATCAGGGAGTATGAAGACAGTCATTTTTACGACGACCTCTCTGTTCTCCACTTAATTTTTTCCCCACAATTTATGGTGAATGTCAGAACTGGCTTTCCAGTTGAATATCCTTGAATGTCATGATCAAAGAGCTGCTGTTGATGAGACTGAGCTACTAATCAAACTTCTACATTCCACACATCAGAACGCAGCACTGTTCAGACACAGGCCTGGATAAGAGACAAAAGTCATTATGTAGATGCGGTGTAGCTACAATGCATAGCATTTTCCCCATTCAGACACCCAACAGAGATTTCTGAGAAGGAGAGAAACAGCCTAAGTTAGATGAGACTGCTTGCACTGTATTTCTGAAAAAGGGAAATTAGTAGTTTTATTCTGGTGGAGCCTAGGATCCTCTTAGCCTTCACCAAATCTGTGCAGCTGCAGAGCATAAATCTAGCATGCCATTGTACCTGCCTCTTACTCAGTTCAAAATAATTACATATGTGAAATGACACGCTTTCACCACCATCCAGGTGATCGACAAGGAAGTATTAGTCAGTTTCAGGCATTTATGAACAATACTAGTGGATAAGCAGTCTGTTATGCTGCACAATTCTAGTGGATAAGCAGTCTTTTATGGTGCTGAAATATTAACTTGAATGAAAGAGATTGTTCAATTCATCTCTCACAAGGGTGCTGTTAACCTTTGACCTCTTCTGTTACCACAAATGTTCAGACTTCATTGGCTGTTTAAAATATTGTTGGACTAAGAGCTTTGAAATTCATTCAGACAACAGGTGTAGAGATCCCCTCTGGAGCCTGTGTGCGTGTGTGTGTGTGTGTGTGTGTGTGTGCGTGTGTGTGTGTGTGTGTATGAAATGTTTTCCACTCATTTTTGCAAATCAAAAATACAGTCAAATCAGTAATATTGTGAAATATTTTTGCCATTTAAAACAATGGTTTTTAATATATTTTAAAATGTTATTTATTCCTGTGATGCAACGCTGTATTTTCAGCATCATTACTTCTTTCTTGTGTCACACGACCCTTCAGAAAGCTCTCTGAGCTGATTTGCTCAAGAAATGTTGAAAACATGAATATATATATATATATATATATATATAGTTCAGATGCAAAAGCCTCTAAATGCCATTTGAAATTTTCTTCTTTAATGATGATTTTTGTCAAACTTGTATATTTAAGTTCAGTAATTTCACTTAAATAACAATTAATAGGTAATTATCATTGCCATTTAAGAGAAATCACTGAACTTAAATATACAAGCTTGATAAAAATGATCATTCTAGAAGGAAATTTCAAATGGCACTTAGAGGCTTTTGTATCTGAACTGAATATGTATATTATGATATATTAATGAAAGTTCAAAAGAATTTGTGTAAAAAAAATCTTGTAACATTATAAATGATCACTTTTGATCAATACATCCTTGCGGAATGTAAGTATTCATTTCTTAAAATGCACAACTAGAGAAAGTCACATAATAACATAAAAGAAGTGCGTCAATGTAACAAACATAGAAAGTCTCTATTGGGAAATAATTCCCTGACAACCACAGATGTTTCCAAAAATGAATGTCAGTTTGAACTTATGACTCTAAAAATATTTCTCTGACATGTTTCTCACTGTCGTCCTCAGTAACGTCTAAAGTGAGCTCCTGGGAATGTTTTTTATGTTCCACCCACTGGTTTCTCATGCCCACGCTGGTGTTAGCCAGCACGTCAAAAGCATCGTTATCTCTTGAGTGGATTGTGTGAAGCAGAAGAGACTTTAGCCAAAGGCGTTCACTTACCCGAGTTATGGTCAACGGCTGGTTGAAATCTTTGCCTCCTGAAAGCCGAAATCCCCAAGGGGCTGGCCCTTCTAGTACCACGTTCTGTGGCATTTCTGTCTTTTTCTGTTTAAGTCTTTTTCTCAAAGTTGATCTTGCTTCTTCAGTGCAGTCTCTTCTTATTGGCAAGAGATCTGCAGTTAAAAGAGAATGGTCAGCTCTATCCCTCCCACTACCCTAAAGGAATTGCTCACCCTACCACAACTGGAAGCCGGTGCCTGTCTCTGAATCCCTTTAAAGCATGTGTGTGGGGTTAGGAGAGTGAGTGAATGAAAGAAAGATGATGCCAGGATGCCACTCCTCTTGTGAGGTCATACTGAGAAACTGAGGGTTCAAACTCCCTCCCTCCTTCAGATCAAAACCCAACACCCTTTATGATTAATCATCTTTTCCCATAAGTCTTATCTGTTCAATAACTAAAATCTCCCTTCGCTCTGTCATCACCCCGTGTGCTGTCTAGACTTTCCTTACCGCTGGCCAGACACCTGTGCCTGAATGAGAGAACTCATCATGAAATTACAGCTGAGCGTTGAGTCAGAGTCTTTGCAGTCGATGAGCAGATTGAGCTATTTACAGAGCACAACAACAAAACCATATCATGTCATATTGTCATATCAACACAGCACTTATTGCTTTTTTAAACATCTCCTCTTAGGAATGTAAACAATTTGAATAGCACAGCCACATAAGGGAACATTGAAAACTGATTTCAGTTCTAAGTGATAATAATCTCATACAAAAATATGCCTATAAGTAAGGCCCCTTCACACCAAGGATGATAACTACAAAGATATATATATATATATATTGACAGGCAATCAAAATCCATTCTGCTGAAACAAGCTTGAGCATTTAAAGTCCGCTGGTGTGGACTAACTTTTCGCAATGACTGTTACCAACTGGTGTTTTTTTAGGTGATTTTTATTTATTTATTTATTTATTTTTCACATGTACAGTTCTCAACTTCACACTGGTGTCCTAGAACAGTTAGTGAAGTTCACCACATTGATATCCAATAATGTCTGACAAACAGACATAGGCATTAGTTAAATCTGGTTCAGAACATTTACTTTTACACGTTTACTATTTTACATGCCACTGTGCAGCTTTTCAATAGCTTTTCGACTTAATGTAAATGCCTAAATAATGTTGGCGACTTGCTCGCTGCGAGTTCATTGTGTTATTCCTTTATGGCCGGGTAAGGAACTGAGAAATCAGTTCGGTATTCAGTGAGATTTGATTCATTAAATGTGCTGACAGCTCATATCACCTGCCAAACAGATTAGACTGAGCGGAGCGGGTGACCGGTTTAAGATGGCGGCCCCACGGCTCTCCCGTGCCAATAGGCAGTAGCGGTCAATAGGGGGTCTACCTATATGATGTCTATGGATAAAAACACCACCCCCGCAGAAGAAGATCAACGCCTACTTCAACATGGCCAGTTTAGCCCCGCCCAGCGATTCGCGCATTACACACATAGCTAAATAACATAGATTCCTACCTTGTGATGACAAACCGGATCCAGCTACCAAGCAATACAAAATATTGTGCAGTGCCTGGTTGTGGAAGAAGCCAGTCGCTGCATAAGCTTCCTCTGGATTCCAATAGGACTGCATGGATAAACTTTATTTTTAATGACGTTCCAGCTGATGAGGTAAACATTGTCGTCTGTTCCCTTCATTTCACTGAGGATTGTTTTGTAAACAAGACTGTATTTGCAGACCGATTAAGAGTAAAGAACCGTGCTGTACCATCTAAATTGGATCTGACGGGAATTGTGCAACACACGGACTCTGGGTCGAATCATGCTGGTTGCCATTTTACAACATTGGACGTTTTCAAAACAATTTCCCCCAAGTGCATCGACGGGTGAGTTGAAACTCATTATAATATGCAAAACTGTTCTCCACTCACAGCAGTGGGCGTTTACTTCCAAGTCTTCAGTGCGAGATGCCCATTAAAACCGAGCGTTTTTCAGCTAGGCTCTATAGGGAAGAAAATAGCCTATTACTTATTCGTTTTGATGTTTTTGAAAGCAAAAATCAAGCAAACGTCATAAGTTGACCTCAGAAAACAATATAATAAAATTTTAAAAGCCAGTTCATGAGCTCTTTAAAATAAATAAAAAAAAAAACAATATTCGCAAATGTCCATTTTCATTTAAAAACAAAAATAAAAGAGAAAAAAGCTTGTTACATAAGCTATATTTTTTTAAAGAAATAGAACATTACATTGACTCATACGATTTTTTATGAAGCATAAATGCGTTTTGAAAGAATATTTGTAAACGTTTCAATATCGTTTAGCTCTTCTAGTGAGCAATTGTGTTACATTCGTGTTGTCTTTTCTTGATTTAAAAATAAAACATTGCAGGTAGACATCATTCATGAAGTAAAATTGCCTAGTTGATTAACAGCCAAGTACCAAAACTTTGGATTCCATTCATTGTTGCAGAGCTGCCATAAGGATTTGGTGTTTCTATTCATTATTAGGCCTACTGTGACACAGGCACCCCATCAAAAAAAAGTGTCCCCTTATTTTTACACTCATGAATATGGATTTTGCAAATATTTCAAATGTTAAAATAGAGCGATTCCCCTGGCTGTCGTCATGTTTATTATGCAAAATGCAGGCACATGCTCACGATGCTTGTTTCCAAAGTAAAGTTTATGTAGCCTAACTACACAGAGAGGACTGTGTACTGTACGTGGCACTGGAGTGGCCTGTGTGCTTTTCATTTGAAGGCCAAACATTCTAAGTTGAGAGCACTTGTATTGTAGGCTTGAACAGCTCCTTGTTTGGTGTGCCAGGGAAGGGCTATTTGTCATGGCCTGAGATACTTCAAATCTCTGAAACCAGAAAATCCTTCTCTAACCCAAGTCATCACATTGTGTACCTTTTAGTAATTAAACGGATAGGCCATCCAAACATTTCAATTCTGTCATTTACTCACCCCCACGTTGTTTCAAAAGTCAAGTGGGTTTGAAATGACTTGATTATGAGTAAATTAGGATTGAGGGAAAACAGATTAGTGTGGACGTTAATGGGGTTTGAGATCTGTTCCCAGATATTTATTTCGGAGAGCGTGTGAGATTTTGCTCCAGTAAAAACAAATGTGGGAAAAGCACAAAGTCTAGACAGAAACCCCTGCCTCATGTGAGCGAGCTGGCTCTGGTTCTTTCTCTGGGGCAGAAACTCAAACAGGCACTCCACTGACCCTCTGTTTACTGTGTCCCCATGGCAGCAGGAGGGACAACTCCAGGACATGGAGTGGCTGTTTATAGACTGGACGGTCTGCAGGGACTAGATTGCTAGCAGAAGGATGATGTCCAGGATAGCACAATTATTTTTACGGAGACTGTGAATAACACTAAGAAAATATATGACTTTATTCATGTACTTTTGCACAGAGAAAGAAAAGGCCAAGAAAGACTTTAAAAATATTGATTGCTTTTACTTTTTGGAGTCTAATTATATATATATATATATATATATATATATATATATATATATATATATATGAAGAGTTCAGATGCAAAAGCCTCTAAATGCCATTTGAAATTTTCTTCTAAAATGACAATTTTTATCAAACTTGTATATTTAAGTTCAGTAATTTCACTTAAATGACAATTAATAGGTAATCTTCATTGCCATTTAAGTGAAATTACTGAACTTAAATATACAAGCTTGATAAAAATGATCATTTTAGAAGAAAATTTCAAATGGCACTTAGAGGCTTTTGCATCTGAACTCTTCATATATATATATATATATATATATATATATGAGTTTAGTTTACAATAGTTTAGCACTTTGCAAGTCATGTCTTTATATAATTCAGTGTCTATTCTTGACCAGTAAAATTAGTCAGTTTTCATCCAATCAGAATCCATCACACACTCTAGCACCAAAAGTTCAAAGCCAGAATTATTCTAGGTTTAATTGAATGAACATGTTCTGTACTTTATAAACATTTGTTTCTTAAACATGCATTATTAAAAATGTAACAAGTATCCGTGTTATTACATAAATGATGTAGTTGAGTTATGCACCATCGAACAACCCAGTTAACTTCACTTCTGATCAGCTATTGCTTAAGAATGGGTGACACTGGGTGACAGCTCAGAGCAAGGTGGAAATGAAGAGTTCAGATGCAAAAGCCTCTAAATGCCATTTGAAATTTTCTTCTTTAATGATGATTTTTATCAAACTTGTATATTTAAGTTCAGTAATTTCACTTTAAAAAAAATTATAGGTAATTATTATTGCCATTTAAGTGAAATTACTGAACTTAAATATACAAGCTTGATAAAAATTATCATTCTAGAAGAAAATTTCAAATGGCACTTAGAGGCTTTTGCATCTGAACTCTTCAAATATTGCTCTGTACAACCATACGCATCTCTTAATAAATTCTCATACAGGTACATTGAGTTTGCACTGACGAACAGTTCTTTATGAAACAACATGCGCAGGATGTTACAGGTACATATAGTGACAACACAGAAACTGCATAATTCCATGAGGTATAATATTGCCTAAATCACATATATTATTGGTTCATGTTTCTATTGACTGACACATTTACATTTCTTGCTTTACCAACTGGAATAAAACTGTTAGTCATACAGTCTCACAGGAAGATTGAACATTTGAATGTGAGGGTACTCATTGTGCTGAACAGATCAAAGACATAGAAAGTGAACGATTAACAATATATTAAAGGGTTTGTTCACCCAAAAATGAAAAGTATGTCATTAATGACTCGCCAACAGAACCGGAAGAGAATATAGTAATTCTGAATAAAGTCGTCGTTTTTGTTATTTTTTGACCAAAATGTATTTTCGATGCTTCAAAAATTCTAACTAACCCACTGATGTCACATGGACTAATTTGATGATGTCTTCATTTCCTTTCTGGACAAGGACAGTATACCGTATAAACCGTGTGCCGAAGATGAACGGAGGTCTTACGGGCTTGGGACGACGTGAGGGTGAGTCATTAATGACATAATTTTCATTTTCGGGTGAACTAACCCTTTAAGTATATCATAAAGAAAAATGTTTGCTGAATAATCAAATAAACAAAAATAGATTTTCATGTACATTTCCTCACTCAAATTAAACCAATTTGAAGAATCGGAAGACGACATATACAAAATACATGGCTGCCAATTGCAGTTTAGTAATTATGACATCATGTGCTCCTATAATTGGCCATAAATAGATTACAGTGTGTAAACCAAAAGTGATGTGCAAGGTCACCCAACACGGAAATATTTATTATAGGCAGTAGAGACATTAATAAGAGTCAGTTTACGACGGTTAACATGCCCACTTTTGCCAAAACGCCTTTTGTGAGGGATACTGCATTCTTAAAAACGTTCTCTCTGTAGATTGAAAAACATCAAAAATATTTTTCTCTTATCTGTAAAATCCTTCAAATCCTTAAAGGAATGTCTGGAGGAAGAACATAGAGCCCTAGAAAACCGGAGGTCTTTCTTCTGAACCAGAGAGTTTTCATAGTAAAAACAACATTCATGTTGGCAGGAATGGTTAATATCCACTGCCTGACGCAAACATGACACTGCAATACTGTTCAATCTACACGGTCTAGATCAGATCAGACATCAGGTCCAGCGTACAGAAGAGGACCCGTAGATCATTCCTCACCTGTATTTTACCCTCCCAATGAAGATAAACAGGGCACTTGAGAACTCATATTGTTGAAATTCATCAGCTTAACTAGGCGTTGAGCCTACTGATTTTTTCAACTATGAGAAAAATGTTTGCAACCAAATGTTTTAAAGCATTTACTGAAATTCTTAATTAACATAATGGTGTCAACATATTTGAGCCAAATTGCATGAATGGTGCATTAACCCCCTTCAAGGCCATTGGCTTCTTCTTCCATCAGTCCAACAGGTTGATGACTGGAACATGTCATGCTATTTCCAGCAGGAAACTGTAGGTGACATTGTCCATCTCCCCTCAGTATATGTATGACCATCAGAGATGTGTATTAGAAGTGTCCATTTAAAGCCGCTTCACATAGTTCCCAGGAAAGGTTCCGAAAAATTTGGTTCTCCTGCACGTTCCTAAAAAAAAATATATATATATATAGAATGAGGCAGGCATAAAAATGTATCTATTTAATATCTAAGTATACATTATTAGGTAAAACAATATTTTAATATGAATCCCTCTTGTTATTTATCCATAAATCCATTGTTGACTCTATATATATATGTTTTTTTTTGGAGAATAGCGCCAGCTAGTGGCAAATAAGTGAACATCACTAAAACACTCCTTGTGTAGTAACAAGCAACAAAAATGACAGTTTACATTCTTACCCACAAACCATCCATCATCACATTTCTCCATGACGTCAACAACATCCCCCTCCTTCAGTTCCAGCTCATCTTCATTTCGTGGCATGTAGTTATACAGGGCTTGAAATCTGCAAGAGGAAAGGCTCTTTAAGTGTGTACTTTACATTAGGTTATATTGAGTAATATACTGGCCAAATCCCACAATGAAGTAATGTTACAATAAAACAATATTTTACATTATATGCACTGGTGAAGAAAAACATAGAGAAAAAACTTGAGATACTCACGCTTCTCCAACACCTTGAAGAGGATCATGAACATATGCTTGTCTCTGGGACTGAAAAAGAGAAACCATGAAAGGCCATTTAAATGTTTCCGTCTTTTATTCTGCGGTATCTGATGCTGAGTTCCACTGTGCTCAATAAGAACCATTAATGCAAAGCCTGAGGCCAGACCTGGATCAGCTGTGTATCTGAACTATGTTCATGATCAAACCCACAAACGTTTTATCATGAAAAAAAAAAGAGAAATTGTATTTTTGTCAAATACGTATGAGATCCAGGACTACCAGGGCTCAAATTCAGGGTTTCTAAGCCATCAAACAACACATTCTCTAAAATGTGTTTATGGATTTAGAAACGGCTGAGAAATGCCTTAAATCCTGAAAACGAGGACTGTACTCCCCTTTTTTGGAAGGAAATGTGGGGAATAGGCTGCTTGCCTGGCCCTGGGGAGTACACCTTGTTTAAGCTGTGTACACAGGAAAGATCATTGGGACATTCCCAAGAGTTATCCAGACACCCCAAACAATCTCAATACAGTACATGGCTTAAACCAATGCTGCATGAGCAAGCCAATCTCTTCAGCTTCTTGAGCCACAAAAAAAAACAAGAAAGGCTATCAAAATCCACAGTCTGTGATCCAAGAAGTCATGGACATGCAGGAAAACAACTTCCAGACACATTTCAACATGCAGAACAAACAAAATGTTATCACTCTACAGCACAGTTAGGAATTAAATGTTATTTTCTTGACCACAAAATGCACTAATGCATAAACAGACAAGGCCATGGTGTTAAGAGTATCCCTCATTCATGACTAAGCATTCTACCATATTGTACTGTATATTGAATATTACTACATACTGAAGCATCATGTGACCAGACACTGACCAAATTATATAATAAGGCAGTTTAAAGTCTATCATAATATCATTATATCCAGCTATGGCAGCAAAAATGGAAAGAATTTCACTTAAAGGGTTAGTTGACCCAAAAATAAAAATTCTGTCAGTATTTACTCACTCTCATGTTGTTCCAACCCCGTAAGAGAACACAAATTAAGATATTTTTGATGAAATCTGAGAGCTGGATCACTCCTCCATACTAGTCCATAGGCTTCTTGAGGGATAGAAATTTGCTGGCCTCGAAAATTTATTAAAGACATCGTTAAAATAGTCCAAGTGACTACAGTGGCTCAATCTTAAGTTTATCAAATGACGAGAACACTTTTTGTGCGCAAAAAACGACTTTATTTCAACTATTAATTTACTTCTACTCTCTCTGCCTTGAGTCAGGTTACTAGTTTAATAGTGTAAGCTTCGTTTATTGTATTGTTTATTGACACCCATCACACACATGGCCAATAGTGAGCCTACGTGTGACGTAGCTCTACTCAATCACACTACGTTAACTGACTAGAGGTCCATAGAGAAGGAAGTGAATACTTGAAACAAAGTCGTTAGTTTTGTTTGTTTTTGCGGACAAAAAGTATTCTCGTCACTTGATAAAGTTAAGATTGAGCCACTGTAGTCACTTGGACTATTTTAAAGATGTCTTTAATCATTTTTCGAGGCCGGCAAGTTTCTATCCCTCAAGAAGCCTATGGACTAGTATGGAGGAGTGATCCAGCTCTCAGATTTCATCAAAATTATCTTAATTTGTGTTCCCGAAGATGAACGAAGGTCTTACGGGGTTGGAACAACATGAGGGTGAGTAAATACTGACAGAATTGTCATTTTTGGGTGAACTAACCCTTTAAATCTGTGAATTCCCAGATCAAATACTGTACAGTGAATGACATTATGCGTTGTGCAGGGATACTTTGAAATGAGAGAAAATTGAATTTCCCTTGAGTCACACAAGGTGCACATACTCCCTACCCTATGAGATGGTGAAAAGTTTTGACCTCTAACAGGCGATCCGCAGGACCTCCTAGACATCACAGGGCTACGAGGGGGCTTACCAACAACCACAACATCACGCCTTAAAACAGACTGAAAGAACCAGAACCAGGAGAAGCTGAAATGATGGTTAGGTGCAGTCATATACAAACACAAGTTACAAAAAGATACACTACCATTCAAAAGTTTGGGGTCAGTAAGATAAAACTCAGCAAGGATGCAGTAAATTGATTGGAAGTGACAGTAAATACTTTTACATTGCTGCAACAACAACAAAAGCTATTTGACTTCATTTTAATCCAAGGGTCCTGAAAATTGCGGGGGGTTTTTTACCAAAATAGGTAACACTTTATTTTACGCCCCGCAAACAACTGTGTAAGTACACTGAAATTATGGTGTACGTTTCTGTAATTATAGTGTACTTCCGTGTAGGTATAAGGGAACAATATGTTAAGTTTTGGGTAATAAAGGCGTAACAAGCACCACTTTAATACAGCCCGCAGGAGTTACACTTACCCTGTAACTACACAGAACAAGGGGGTAACAAACGCTACTTACTATATAGCAATACGAAACAACACTATTTGCACTGTAATTACAGAGAAAGGTACTGTTATAAAAAAACAAACAAACAAACAAAAAAACGTTTTAATTACACAGTATATTTGCCTGTTACCACATGGTACGGTCTAAATTAAAATCATAGCAAAAAAAATTTATTTTGACTTAACATTAAGTAATAAAAAGCCAATAAATTTATTTTTTGTCTATAAATATATTTTATATATATATATATATATATATATATATATATATAATTTTTTTAACTAATTAAATAATTTGCTTGTATGTCTGCTTGTTACCTCTTTATTACCCCAAACTTAACATATTATTCCCTTATACCTACAGTACACTGAAGTACACTATAATTACCGAAACGTACACCGTAATTTCAGTGTACTTACAAAGTTATTTGCAGGTTGTATATCTGTTTGTTACCCCCTTATTGCTCAAAACTTAACATATTGTTCCCTTACAGTTACACGGAAGTACACTATAATTACAGAAACTTACACCGTAATTTCAGTGTAGTTACACAGTTGTTTGCGGGTCGTAAAATAAAGTGTTACCCAAAAATACTAAGCAGCAGAACTGTTTTCAACATTTATTATCATAAGAAATTGAATAAATATGACCTTGGCGAGCATAAGATACAGTACATTTTTCAAAAACATCTTACCAACCTTGACTTTTGAATGGTAGCCTATATATTATGGATCAACATTAATGAGTGAATATAGGCCTACTTTATTTTTGGTCAAAATGTCTCATTATTTACTCAGTTGCCCAACCATCCATAATGAGCGCTACTTGTTTGTTTGTTTGTTTGTTTGTTCCCTCCCATGCCAGTGGACAGAGCTAACAGGGGAAGGCCTATAAAGCAAATTTAAAGGATCGTGGGGTTATGAGTAGTGAATTTAAAAGGGTTGGGTGATTTAAATATGTCTACGACTTACTAATAATTATGATTCTAGCTTCCCGTATATCTGAAATAATTCACTGCATGCCAAATGAACTAAATTGTGCTTCAAGTTATATAGGTCACTTTAATAGGGAATGTTAGTGTCTGTATTACGGAGTGGCAAGACTAAGGGGCAGGGTAGAGGATGATTAGCACTGCGACAGTCACTAGCAAGCAGCTTGTCTTTACCTTGACCTTTGGGGAGCGGAGGTCCTGTCGAGAGAACAGTTTGGCAGAGAGAGGGGGCGACTGTGAAACCCCAGGCAAAGGGGGGTGTAGCGCGGGGAAGGGGGAGAGTACTTAGCCGACGAGGGCTGTGTGAACTGCAATGATATCTGTGAGGACGGGAGGGAGAGAGATATGGAGAGGCATTCTGGGAAACCTCACCCTGCTAATGTGGAGACTAAAACAGCTATACATGCTAAATATATTTGTAATTCTCTACAGATGCTTCAGGGTTTAAAGGTGAAGTGTGCATTTTTACTGCCATGAACGACAAAAAATGATAATTGAAATAAGAATCTGAGCACTCCATTGTTTGTTACAAAATCATTGAATTTAAAGGGGTAGTTCACCCAAAAATGTAAATTCTGTCATCATTACTCCCTCATGTCATTCCAAACACATATGCCATTTTTAATGTTAAAAACACAAATTAAAATATTTTATTTAAACTTGAGAAATTTCTGTTTGTCCATTGAAAGTGCAGGACAGGTAATTAAAACTTAAAAGATCCAAAAAGGTCATAGAAGTTGTAAAATGAATTCACATGAACTGAGTGGTTTAATCAAAGTCTTGTAAAGAGATATGCTCATTTTATATGTGCTGCAGTATTTGATTGCTTTTAACAGATTTAATTTTGGCTTTTATTCACATAAAGATTACATAAAGTGCATCATCTATGGTAAAAACAGACGCTTGTGTGTGCGTCACATGCATGTCGCGCAACAACAAACCTCATTGAATCTCGTGCAACACACATATTTTTTGTGCTCTACGTACAGTATGTGTGTCGATCATTGTTTAGGTCTAAACAAAAGCCTAAATTAAATTTGTTCAGCATATAAAATGATCATGTCTTTTCACAAGATTTGGATTAAACGCTCAATTCTTATGGTTTCATTTCACAACAGCTCTATGACCTTTTTTTGATATTCTAAATTTTGGTTACACAGACTTTCAAAGGGAGGCACAGAAACCTTAAAACAATTCTTAATTTGTTTTCTAAAGATTAATTTATGATCTTATGGGTTTAGAGCTATGGAGTTGGAACAATATGGGGGTGACCAAATGATGAAAGAATTTAAATTTTTGGGTGAACTACTCCTTTAACATTTGATCATCTAAAATCACACTCCTCTCTTTTAAGGAAATTTATTTTGGCTTTTCATTTGGGCAGTATAACCACACTCCAAGCACTACCTCAATGTCTGAACCCTCACTCTGGGCGGGTTGGACTGGAGCAAACGTATTTGATGTCAGGGGTTCGTTTAAGAAGCTGTTGTCTTCTTTTGGCTCTTCCTCTATATACAGTCTGGGTAGCTTTTCCATTATATCTGGTTCCTGGCAATACAATTCCTCCTCTTCTACGAATGTGCCCTTTGATTGGCTGGCTTTAATGATTGAAACTAACTCCTCACATATATCATCCTCGGGTTCTTTTGGTGACAGAATTTCCAATGGAGATTCGTGGGCATCAAAAACAACCAAGTCAATAGGGCTATGCAATTTAGGGGGGCCTGTCTGGCCAGGTTTATAATGGTGATCCGAGAACAAGTGCAGTTCCTTCTCGGGTAAAAATTTTTGACTGGAGAGGATCTCTATGACACTGCCAGACCTGGGGCTGGCGTCAAATACGGGTGATATGGGCGAAGGAGTGAAGGAGGTGGAGGTTAGATAAGGTTGAGGTGACAGGCTGGGTTCGGGGGACATGTAAGACTTTGGGGAGGAGATGGGAATGAAGTGGCCCTCTTTGAGCACAGGAGTGAAGTTGCGAGGAGTGAGGGCAGGAGAGCGGCTCAGTATGGAAGACCCGGGAGAAGGGGAGATGGCAGACTCCAATACTTCATAGTATGGCTGGAAATTGGAAGGGAAGGGTGGAGGTGTGGGGGCAGGGGTTCCTGAAGGAGACAGACCCAGAGTGAGGGCCAACCACTCGCTGGTGATGGCCTGAAGGTGTGCGGCTCTTTGTGGACTAGGAGAGGATGAGGAGAATGGACGGACAGTTGGGGATGGAGAGTTGTGGAGGGTACGAGCAGATGACAGCTTAAGAAAAAGAAGGAGAGAGGAGAAACAGAAAGTGATAGTGATGATACACGCTGGGAAAGATAGTGAAAGTGAATTGTTACTAGAAAATACAACCTAGAAAAGCATGGTACGAAAAAAGAACGTTCTATTCAGTATTCAGTTTGTGTTTGAGTTCCATTATGTGTAGATTATTTACTATTTGGATGTAAATAGAATCCCATTCATCATCTAAATTAGATTTCACATAATGTATGGCCATTATCAAAATAAATGATTAATACAATATCCTAGAAGACACTTTATTTTCAGAATACAGTCATAGTTCTGCTAGATAGCAGAAATGCTGTCATTGTGAAAGCTTGTTGCAGTCAAGCACTCAAGTACCGTAAAGGCTCCGCAGACAAAGTATGTGGGGAAACAGGCCTAAGACAAAAGACATGAGCTACAAGGAAGGATATGCCATAATTAATCATTTTTAGAGTACATTCACTGTCTGTATTGATTTGTGAGGTGGAAACAACAACAAGGTCACTGAGAGGTCATAGCAAATGTAACTGTAAACCAGCAATAAGAGTATTGGTAAAATTTAAATGAAAAAAATAAATAAAATAAATAAATAAAGTCACTGAACAAAAATGAGACAATTAGGTGTGTTTCAGTCTGGACCACATTGCCAAGTATATAAATTTATAACAATTATACAGTTAGTATTGGCGGTATGGTCCTGTTCTGGGCAAAACTCCTACGCTTGTCCATCCAGCTATGCCTGAGTCTCAATTTCATGAGATGTGAAAATACAAATACATGATAGGCTTGCATTGAATTGAATTGTACGGGAAAAACAAAATAGTCCGAATGATTAAAGATTCCGTTGGGTGGAGTTGGGGTTGGATAGCGATGCTACGGCGGAAATGCTGAAGGAATAAGAGTTTATATGTGCTGCTGTGATATATGTAGTCACTGGATAGGAACATGCCAGGAACACCTGGCTATCAGCTGATGTGAGCTTGGCTGACCTGGCCTGCCAGAACTAACGCGATGCTTGATATTTGTGAATAACTCAAAAATGTTTTTACAAATGTAAGCTGTGTTTGCACTTATGTTTGACAACTAGAAAGTGTCTAAACATGCTTAATTCTGAAGAGTACACAACTGTTAAAATGTTTGGGATCAGTATGATTTCTGTAAGACTTTTACATTGTGGCAAAACATTTCTGTTCATTATCACAGTTTCCACAAAAATAGTAACCAGCTCTGCTGTTTTCAACATGGATAACAATAGAAAATGTTAATTGAGCACCAAATCAGCCTATTTCAATGTTTTCTATTTTTTCTAATATATTAAAATATATAAAAAATGTAAATTGTTTTAAAATATATAAAAATTCAAAACAGTAATTTTAAATTGTAATAAAATTCACAATATTACTCTATTTATTTTATCTTATCTGCATTTTATCACATAAATGTAGCCTTAGTGATCATAGAATAGTTCTTTCAAAAACTGTATATCTGTTGATTTATCATTTAATCTCATTAATAGATAAATTACATTGGTTTGATATCGTGTTATCTAATGCAACAATATTCATCTTTTATGTGTGACTTGATTGTCAAAATACTTGTCCTTCTATGTAGTACAAAGTTGAAGTGTATCTGCAACAATGTTTGCTATAATAAGAAAAAGCAAGATACTAGTGCAGTCCATTCACATTAGTTCACCTTTACAGAAATATCCCTTTCAGTAACAGCAAGAGCCGAGTAGCACTTGTATAGCTCAGCAGGTCATATCCAAGTTGTAATTAGCCTATACTGGATACTGGCAGGATGTGTGATAAATCTGATCTAATCCTGCTGAACTCGGCTAATGTGAGCGAAGGAATAAGCCTTTACTTCTTTGTTCTTTAGATGGAATTACAACTCAAGGGCATTTAATCTAAACTCAGGCTTATCTTACACAACAAGCCAAAGGTAATCTAAAGATGACAGAGGTGATCTATTTTGGCATTGGGACAGTTGCCATTTGAGAAAGGATTAATTTTGTACTTGCCACCTTGTTGACACTGATAGTGATGTACATGACCTATGGCAATGCGAGTAATATGATATAAATGAGAGGTTTTACTGCCTCTGACGCCACCGTTTGTCGGCAAGGATCATATGTATTTAAAGTATAAGTCAGGATTTACCTAGAAAGATCATAAAGTCACTTAACTCGATCAGAGTATATATTTTACGGATATAAGTGAGATTCCTTGAAATTCAGATATCTTTAGTTACAATGATTAAAACCTCATGTGATCATTTTTAGACCCTTAAACTGGTTTAAACCCTTTAAGTACAGTTTTAGGAAAAATATTCCAGCTGAAAACATACCCTACTGTTCAGTCTGTCACTGGAGTAGTTGGTGGGTATATTGGGCCCAGGAGGCTGACCAGTACTTTGTACTGTGGTCTTCTTAACGACGTCCACATAAGACACTGGAAAAATCCCTTGTTTGTTTGTACCTTGAATCTTGCCCTCAAACCAGTTCTTATCCACCTGCCGCACCAGAATAACACGCTCGCCCTGGAAGACACCAAAACAAGATATAAGGTGTGATGTATATCTGGTGGATCGAATACAAAAATGCAGTAAAAAATGACAAAATTATAACCAAATACAACGTATTTGATATTTTGTATACAACTATGTGATGAAGCTGTGGCTGGCTGGGGGAAAAGTTTAGTTTTTTTACAGTGTTTTATGTCTTGGCACTTTCTTCTTATTGGTTAAGGTACAATGTTAGAGTTCAGAACATTAGCATTCAGTAAAATTGAGAATTATTTAGCAAAAGACATGTTATTAAAGTGGTAAGAAACATTAAAGAGATAGTTCACTTCAAAATGCTAACCCTCAAGTTGTTCCAAATCGGAGTTTATTTCTTCTGTTGAACACAAAAGAAGATATTTTGAAGAATGTTGGTAACCAGACAGTTTGATTGCATTGAACAACTCATGGAACAACTCAAAGGTGAGCAAGTGATGATAACATTTTCATTTTGAGGTAAACTATCCCTTTAAGGTGTGGATGATTGAGGAGTTGCTGTCATATTTATGACATCAGTACTAAGAAAATGTTTACTTTTCTTAATGAAAGTTCCACATTAGTATCAGCATTAAAGTTGTAGCGGGCAATTGCTTCTCCAATTTCTCTGCTTTGGGTTGGAGGAGGAGGTCTCGCTGGCTGATGTCTCTCTGAAGGAGGGATTTTCTGTAAAGAGGCACAGAAATCAGAGGAGAAATCAGGCTACTTCAGAAGATAGTTAATAAGAATACCAATAATTAACAGTATAAATATAGAGAGTTTCCATTAGCTAAAAATATATATTACTAAAGTACGCACCTCAACATATGAGATGGGGAAGATACCCATATGGCCACGATATTCTCCCTCATACCAGTTATTATCTATCTGCCGAGTGATGTATACCGTATCTCCTTTCTTAAACGTCAGCTCTCTGAGAGAAAAAAAAAAAAAATAAGTTAACTATATTCCACGTGGAGGAATAACAAAATGACATGCAAAGGAAAGACATAAATAATACATGAAAGTGTACTAGTTGATTGTAGCACATCAAATGCAATAAGAACAGAAACCGGTGACATGGTTTGCAAGTTGTTCTTACTTCGCTGTCTGTGCTTTGAAGTCATATATTGCTCTGGCTGACAGTTTCTGTCAAGTGAACGAAGCAGAGTAATCAAACTTTAATACATGTTCTCATTAGTTGGGTTTATTCACAATTTGACCAAAGCTTAGAAAAAATATTGGAGTTTTTACTATAATTTTTCAAGAACATTACAGACTTACCTCTCTGACTTCAGGGGTTTGTCTTCTGCTCTGTTGTGTGTGGCTTCCCACATCAGGGTAAGAGTATTCTCTGGATGTGTCCTGATCTAGAAAAAAAATAGAGAAGTAAACTGATTCAAAGACAACTCTCACAGAGATCCAAAACTATTGCATGCATGGGAACAAGCAAAAGCAAAAGAAGTAATGATTTGGGGCTTGATGAGAGAAATGCACACAAAAGGAAATTTGTGGGAAAAAGGGAAATATGAATATATTCATATTTTATTGACAAATTAAAAGTAAATATTGTAAATAAGAAATAATATACATATAATGAAGTCAACTTCCAAGAATCATCTCACAAATGATGTTATACCCATCCACTTAGATCCCCAGTATAGATCTTGCGTATTTATACTAGAACTGCAAATGGTTAGCTGGCAGGCAAGTGCAGGCAAGCCCCCCATTGCTCTGATCGGTCTTCATTTATAAACACTACTAACTATGCGAAAGTATACAGTGTCACATGTCTTTACGGTTAAGAAAATAATCATAAACATTGACCTTCTCACAAAACAAATAAATGAAAACTTTAGGTACTGAGGGTGATCTCAATCACCATCATATTAGACAGAGCGAACTGTGTTAACACTGATAAGAGAGTATGTTTCTTCCCAGGCCAATAAAATCTCAAATCTGTTTTTAGATTGCATGCTTCAGCTGCTCAAGTCATCTGTCTAAATCTATTTATATAGACTGAAACTTTACAAAGTTACATTTCTTTTGTGGCAAGCCCACACACAAAGTAGTGTTCCTCTAGTGTTTTGATTCCCAGACAATGCATTAACCTAATAAAATGTATACCTTAAATACATAAAAGCATCTCAAATACAGACGAATGGAGTAGGAAAATAAATTTAAAGAATTGTTTGGGGGAAAAAATCGAATAATCTGATAAAATGAGAAAATAAACGATTAGATGAAGCAGAGGATGTGGGAGTGAGTCATGCTCTCTGGTGCTCCTTGCAACATAATGATTCCTTTCACTAAACCAGGGGTGTCCAGTCCTACTTCTGGATGGCCACTGTCCTGCAGAGTTTAGCTCCAATTAAACACCTGAACCTGCTCATCAAGGTCTTCAGGCTTACCTGAATCTTCCATGCAGATGTGTTGGGGCAAGTTGGAGCTAAACTCTGCATAATGTTGGCCCTCCAGGAGCAGGTTGGGACATCACTGCCCTAAGCAAGCACATTAACAAACACAGGTGGAACGATGCAATGGTGGAGGAGCAGAACTCAAACACAGGGGACGAAGGGTATTTAGGAAATCAGAGATGGATGAGTAGAGTCCACCTTGATAGCAGAATTCAGAGTTGCGGTTCATCTGGTTGTTGTTGCTGTCTATATGGTTGTGACAGGCACTATGGGACAGGTGTGAGTACTTGGGTGGGTGAGTGTCCTGGCTGGGCATGCCATCAGGCTGTGAGTGGTAAGAGCGAAGTTGAATTGTAGGGCTGCCTCTCCCAAGCACGTGCAGAGAGGAATTCCTCTCAGGAATGTCGGGAAGCAACTCTACCAGCAACCTATGGAGGATGGTGTTGTCCGGCAGGCTACCCCTGCATTTCTCAGTGCGGATGTGGTCGTAGATGTCTTTTAGGGCAGAATCTAGAGCATCATACATGCAGATCTTGGAGTTTGGTATTCGGGAAAAACTCAAAGGTGACAGGTTCTTCCGGCGGAAAGGCACTGGGCTGACCAGGAAGGCAAGCTTGCTGAGGCCAAACTCGGATTCCTCTACGCGCAAATGTTGCCTCCGGTCCTGCTTGGCCCTCTCGTGCTTGATCATAGTGGTGAACCGCGTGTAGGAAGCCGGGCAGCGGCCCTTGCAGGAGCTCACAAGCTGCCTGTGATAATGATGCTGGTGCCCCGATCCGCAGAAGCTCTCTGAGGAGGCAAATGAACACAGGTCGAACTCCCTCTCGCTGCAGAAGGATGAGCCCTCAATCTGGATGAAGTCACTAAGATCAGACACTACAGCATCGTGTTCACTGTCTGAGTAGTTGTTCTGCATGGCAGAGTTTTGTAATTGGTCACTGGTGACTTGGATGTGGATTGGCACATGGGTGTTTATCTTGGAGGGTTGAGGCCGTCCTTCAGGGGGATCCCTGGCCGGTGGTTCTTCATCCAGTAATGACTCAATAGAGAGGCTGCGCTTGGGGCTGCTGATCCTCCTAAAAGAACTCCTGATCAGGCACTCATCTCCAAGATTTGGCATGGATTTGGATTTCTGGATCAGACTCTCATATTCAGAAATCCTGTTGTGCACCATGTTCCTAGGCACTGCTTCGTTACAGCCCTTGATGCCAGTGCATCTGTCCTTACGCTGTTCGCTCTCATACTTATGGATCCTAGCTTTCACAGAGCAGATCACGGTAGAGTTTATCAGTTCTTGCCGGTTGATGTGATGCATCTTCTTGTAGAGTTTAAGGAAACCTGGTGCATCGTGGGCTGAGCGGTGCCCGATCTTCTCCCTAAGATCCTCAGACTCTCTGACGTCATTGCATTGTGATGCCTCTTCTTCCCCATTGTGCAACAATGAACCGATGCTTTCTGAACGGGCTTTCCCTTTATTTTCCTTTCCCTCGGACAGGAGATCGTCACAACTCCAGGATTTGAGCTTAGACGTGGTCTCCTCTGTGATCATCCAGTCTTTTGGGATCTCTTGGGCTCTTTTCCAGCCTTCAGGGAGGCTGGAGAACCCATCTGAGAAAGCTGAGTCAGCCACAAAACTGTCCTCATTTTGCTCTTTGTTTTGATATGTGGATTCTGAGGTAGCATGGTTTTGACCATTTAAATGTGCTGTGTGCATATAGCTCACATTCCCACCTTAGATATCCACCACAAGCAGCATGGTAAAAAAAGAGACATGAGAAGACATTAAAAGGTAATTGATCTATGGGAGAGACAGTTAAGGAAGTTTATAAAATAACCTGGAAGAAAACTGGAAAGAAATTTTGGATAAAGAAGAAGCAATTGATATGCTACACTACACTGGGGCAAGATTGTACACACTAAATAATTCATTGAACTTTATTCATGCAAAGGGAAAGTCATTTAAAATTCTGCTTGTGCTGTAAGGAGCAAAATGAATACTGTCAGTGAACCTTCCCCTGTTGCTTATTCTCTCAATAAGGTGAATGAAAGTTTCACTGTTCGTCTGAGGTCTACCTTTAGTCCTGGTGGCGGCAGGGGAACTGGGGCTGGTGAGGGGATTCCTCTGAGTGCTGCTGCTCTTTGGCAACTCTGGTGATCTCATAGACGTTAGTGTTGTGCCCACGCTGCTCTGAACCCTGAGCTGAGTTGTTGCAGGTTCAGATTTCCTTCTCCTCTTATTATCATTTGCAGAGCTGCAGAATCAGTGTCAGTGAAGTAAAAGAGTAAAAATGGCTGCTAAAGGATTTTCTAAACATTTTAAAAATCATTTTAAAAAATCTATTAAATTAAATGTATAGATTTTTGTGACAAATACAGTATGTCCAAATTTTTTGGGAGGTTATTGATACACAGTAAACCTACCTTGATGGCCTATCAAGGCCTGTTGATGGCTGATAAAGGGAGGTCTGAAACAGATGAAGAAGAAAGAGCAGGATGAGTTCTTCATTTAACGTCCACACTTACGTTACAGCAGGTTCCTTGATACCTAGAGCTCTCCAAACCAATCTCTACCAATGGTTAAAAACAGTGAAACTTCTTATGTTTGGATACGGTGACAAGGGGCTGTCCTTCGAAAAGCCCAGCAATTCCCAGGACAGCTATTCGCATTAGATCACTTACAAGTGTTTCTATGTCGAACAAAGCAGGGAATTCCTTATACGCATGGCTGGAGTAGATAATCATCTTCCTGTTTGCTGAAGCTCTGAGCAGTGTTATCTGGAACAGCTCTTCAGAACAGCAGCAGACGCCCCTTGCGTTTTTTTAACCCTCTTTAAAAGTAGCCCAAGCATGCAGTACCAGGAATGTCTCCACAGAGTGACACATTTACAACTAGTCAACATAAATACAGCTCCAAGTGACTGAAACCACACTACACGGCTTCAAATTTGACTGCTCTGTGACCATTTTTAGCAATTCTTTGTTTGTATTTACAGCATTCCTCAAACCATAACTGTTACTACAACAACATCTAAGTTATATTGTTTCCTTACAGTGGTCAGTAGAAATTCACATTTTTAAAAACAGTCATTAGAGATTTTAGGGCAAATTCACAGATACACCACTTTTGCATGTGATAGTTGCGTCTTCTACCCAGTTCAGTTCAACCCTTATTCATAATTAATTTCTCCAGTTGACAGCCAGCAAACTATATTTACAATGACAAAAAAAAGCCCCTGACTGAAACGGCAGGATGTGTAAAATGATACTGTACAGGGCAAGTCCATAGATCCTTCACCTACTACAAACACATGGACAAAATCGACAGATGAGAGCCAGGAGGAAATGCTCGTGTCTCATTATAAGTAAACAATGGAATAAGAGAAAAAAAATGTTATTGTGACAAAAAAAAAAAAAAAAAAAGAAGAAGAAGCTGGCATGGTTGTAGATGCAGAACACATGTCCTGCACTTTCACCAGCCATTACTTTTAAAAACAGCAGCATTTTCACTTAAATAATGATCAGAGATGTTCACCAGAATGATCTTAAAACAAATTTACCATGCCATCCTAATATGCAGCCAACTGTTTATTTAATCAAAATTATAAAATGACATGAGCTGTATCCCAATTTGTGTACTTATGCACTATTCTATGCCGTTTTGCAGTACTTGTAAGTAGTGTCCAAAAAGCTACTAAAAATGACCCTGTAATACAGGCAAAAGGCATAAGTTTTATATAACAGTCACTCTTGTAAAGAAATAGTTTTTAAGTATGCCTGTCTTAATACAAATTTGATATCCACATTATTATTATTTTAAATCAAATGCACATTATTTATGTATATCAGAGTGATGAGAGTTATGGCAAAGGAAAACACTCGTTTTGTGAGAAGCAGGGGGTTGCAAATTAAATTAATTACTCTGAAGGTGATTACCAGAATGATCCAAAATAATAGCTTATAATAGTCAAATAGTGTATTGCTCCACTTGAAACAATGGGCTTATTGTATAACCGAAGTTAGGTGATGTTAGGTTGGGTGAGGTTGGCATTAGCCTATTTTGATTAATCTCAATCTCTCTCTCTCTCTCTCTCTTAATGAATCAGTCAGTTAGTCAAAAGTTAATCACTCAATCACTTATTGAATCGGATTCATTCATTCATTCATTACCTCTGCGCAGAATCGAGGTGCGCTTTCTGGATTGTAATCAAGACGTTTTTTGGGAGGCTTCACCCACAGGTGGGATAGAGGAGGGGAGGAGCAGAGAAACAGTGACATAACAAGGGAGAAAGTAAAGTCACATGACTGATGAGATTGAATGACAATGTGACGACCACAAAATGAAGTTGCACATATGCAACAAAAACACTACTGCATTACATCTGCTTTTACATTTTCACAACCTATAGCACGCCAAGCCCAAGACTACAGAACTACACACACCTTGCACAAAGAGTAAGATAAAAGTGAAACATCTAGTTTGTAAATCCAGCCAGGAGTAAAAGTCATGCAATAATAGTAAAATTAATTCCACAACAGATTTTAAAATCACTAAGCATGAGTTTAATGTGCATAAAAAACAAGAAATCAAAGCCTTAAAGTCGGCGTGAAACGGAAGTTGAGATTGTCATTTTTTCCTTGTCGTGACGTATATCCAAGTGAAACGGCTTCTGAGATTAGAAAAAAAATGTAGGGCAGGGCTTGATTTCATCCTTCGGGAATTGATTGGATCGTTGGAGGTTGAGCGTTGCAAACAATTTGAATGCGATTCTCTGAGAGGCGGTGCACCGATAGCCGCACCCTCATCGGCTCTGGCCGCACCCTTTCGCCATTCCACGTGACCAAAAGACAGCGAGGTCATTTCGATGGGGGAGGGAAGGGTAATGTATTTGAATAAAGATTATTTCAAGGGTACATGAATTTAATGAAAAAATAATGAAGTGCATCGATAAATCATAACAAACACTACAATATTACATATAAAAAAGAAGATTTTTCAAATTTGATTTCATACCGACTTTAAATGCAAAGACTTAAATGCTGTTGAGAGTAAGCGAGGCTTGTTATCAAACCCCATCGTATGTGTTACAGCATCCGGAATTGTCGGGTCATTCCAATCAGTTATTTCAGACATGACCATCACGGGATGACGGCATGTGCAGCATGTATCTGACCTTTCCGACCCCACACCAATCACAAGCGGCATGCTCGCAGCACCAAACCAAAGCCACACTTACCGGCCGCCCAAACTCCAGTTCAGCAAAGAACTTATACCATGGCTCATTCTCTAAATCTAAGTCCTCAGGTCTTAAGTTACTTGTCTGGTGTTGAGAATGAAAGCAAATGGGAGAGGAAGATGAAAGGAAGAGATGAACTGAGGTGTGTGACAATCAGATGTAAAATGAAAAAATGTCTTCACCCAGTAGAGGGCAGCAGCACATAACAAGTGCTCACTGGACAAGGACAAACTGCTCCAACTGGAGCAAATTGGTTTCTCTAACCTTATTACTGACCTTGACCACATTACGCTCTAATGGACTTGCAATTTATGTGTTCTATTGAGTGACTCTACAAAAGCTTGCTGAAGCACTTTCGCTCGATTAGGACAAACGTTTGTGATTCTTTTAACATATACAGGAAGCTCATCATTTCACTACTGTCGCCATGTATATTCACAGAACAATTCCATTAATATATAAGAACAACTCAGTTCAGTCAATCAGGATATGGTGCATCATGCCTGAAGCGCCGCTGACACTGTGGATTCACCGATTGATAGTATTTCATTACTTGCGTCTGGTTTACAATCTGTCTATACTCATTAAGTCATGGGACATTAATTCTAAGATCAATATGTTTGTGCTTTCAAAAACTAAACTGAAATTGAAAAACTGCCTCATAAACCTTGCCTCATAAATGCTAACGTCAAACAAACCATAAATAATTCATGTATTTAGCTCACTTCATTCAATCTGGGCCTTTTTCATGCAAAGATTCTAGCATATTAACATTGAAAAACCATTGATTATTTACCGTTCTTTCTTGCTCTAGAATAGAGGATTTCCCCGGCTCATAGTCAAAAATACTCCTCGGCTCTGCTCTGTATTTCCGTGTGTCAACCTTTCTATCAGGAGGTCCCCACTCATTCCTGGGAGACGTGCAGAGAAAAACAAATATTGCCAGTAAGTATTGCTGTAAGATGCATGATCAAATCTTTTTCAAATATGAAAGTCCTTAAAAAAAGTTTGCCTGAAAAATGTTTCTTACATGTCAGGTGTGCTCCTGCCTCTCTGTGGTGCCTCCCTTTCACTGGATCTCTGCTGTGTGGCTGCTGATGTGGGCAGAGGAGAAGGGAGAGAAGAGGCAGCAGGTACCCTGAAACCGTATACGCCATTATCAGAGACACTCTTGGTGATGGGCCGGTAGGTGTCGGTTTTAGGTGCAGGATGGGCCTGAACAGCATTAGGGGCAGCATGCTTATCTAAAAAGAAATAACAATATATATATATACAATATATATCAGTATGGTTAGTTTCAAAAAGCAGTATAATAATAATAATAATATATATATATATATATATATATATATATATACATATATATATAATCTGTATATATCTATATATAATCAGAACAGAAATGTATTTTTATTGAAATTACAAAATAATGTATTACAACATAAATTTATTATAACATTATTACAACATATTGTTACTGTTTTTGAAACAATAAAATGATAATAACGTAATTATACGTATTGCAACTGGTTTATACTAGTATTTTTTAAAATATATTTTTGGCAATAATATGTTTGCTTTACTGTAGTTAAAGAGAAGAGAAACCTTGTTTTGAAATAGTTGTACCAGTACTTGTAACAGGGTCTGTGGCAGTACGGGATCCAGACCACTCTTTCTCTGTGAAAACAATACATTATCAATCCTTCTACCAAAACATGTTACCCTTATTCAACATGGTAAGCCTATTATGTGTGTTTATATTTTCGACCAAGCGGGATGGTTTTCGCAGGAAATTGTACACATGCTTCACTCGCCTTTTTCTCAATAGAGAAAAGTTCCCCCGGCCACTTTGACACATGTATGATGAGGGAGTGACCGAGGTTAGTTCTTACAACGAGCGAGAAAGGTTGACATGGAGCAGCTAAATCTCGAACGTTCGGGAGTCAGCCATTTAAAAAAAAAAAAATACAGAACAGAGGAGAGTCTTCTGGCAAAAAGAAAACGCGACAGAGTCCTTTAAACTTAAAGGGTTAGTTCATCCAAAAAATGAAAATGAAAATTATGTCATTAATGACTCACCCTCATGTTGTTCCAAGCCTGTAAGACCTCCGTTCATCTTTGGAACACAGTTTAAGATATTTAAGATTTAGTCAGAGAGTTTTCTGTCCCACAAATGTATGTACGGTATACTGTCCTTGTCCAGAAAGGAAATAAAGACATCATAAAAGTAGTCCATATGACATCAGTGGTTTAGTTTGAATGTTTTGAAGCATCGAAAATAAATTTTGGTCCAAAAATAACAAAAACTACAACTTTATTAAACATTGTATTTCCTTTATGGACAAGGACAGCTTATCGTACACACATTTTGACAATGAACTTGGTAAAGAAAGCTCTTGGACTAAATCTAAAATATCTTAAACTGTGTTCCGAAGATGAACGGAGGTCTTACAGGCTTGAACGACATGAGGGTGAGTCATTATATGACATCATTTTCATTTTTGGGTGAACTAACCCTTTAAGTCTCATTAGCAGTATGTGGGATCAAGATAATAAAAAAACATAATAAGACACAAAAAAGGCAAACCGTCTGACAGTCCATTACCAGTAATGAACACACTTGTAATCCACAACCTGCTGAGCAAAGCTCTGTTGTTGTCACTCCTCATTAGATGGCCCTATGTTGCACCTTTCTCTCTCTCTCTCTCTCTCTCTCTCTCAAAAAAGAAAAACTATCCGTTTAGCAGACAGGTCTTTTATCTGACACAATTAAGGGGGTCATGAACTGCATTTTTTTATCTTATAATGTTTTATGATTTTTACAAATTGTCATAATTTAGAAATAAAGGCCATTTTCTTCCTTGATTTTAGCCCTCTGATTTGAACGCTCTGTTGGAAGGGGTGTGTCTGCTGTGAGACTTCACTGTAAAAGCCCACTGCTCTGATTGGCTAATATCTTTGCATATGAAATAAGTATGAAATGAGGAACTCTCTCAAAAACTTTCATCATATTTAACAGTTCAAACATGATGTAAATAGGAGTGTGGGCAGCGTCATTGATTATAATGGGAATTTTGGCGAGAGTCCAGGATTGGCTTGGTTTTAATAAAATCTGTTTTTAGACTAAGGAGGAATCTTTAAGTGCTGAAAAATTATGTTTTTATAGAACAATGATCTCTTAATGTCAAAAATCAAGGAATATGCCAACAAATTCATGACAACAATTTAAATCAAAATAGCAATGAGACGAGTGTTCTGTATACCCCTTATAAAACAAAATAGTATCTGCTTATGTCACGTACAGTGTAAAATGATACATTTTAAATGTACACAATAACACAATCTTTAATCCTGTTTAGTTTGCAAAAAAAAAATCTTTCAATTTCTATGTTGCATAAATGCTCTAAGAATAGATTTTAAAAAATGTGTAATAAAATAGGTTAGAATGTCAATGTATGATTAGAACATTCCTTCTAATTACCACATAATAGGCTTGTTCTGATTAGGGCTTTTTGAGACTTCTTTATTTACATTTAGAGGACATGCAAGGTAAGTTTTAAAGTAAAATGAAGGTAAATACACAAGATCCAGTCTTACCTGATTTAGGCACCACATGAATCTGTTTGAACATGGTCTTGTACCAATCTTTTGGCCTGTCAACAGTCTAAAACAATACACAAACAAACATTTTAGATTGCAGGCATTCCTAGTTCTTACAGATTAAGATTCCAAGGTCCAAATGCATAGTTTAGAAAACAAATAGCAACCCGAATGTGCTCCATGACCTTGAGTCCAAAACTCTGCATGCAAAACCCTCCTATAAAAATGCTGATGCAACTGGCCTCTCCATGTTAAGCTGAGAGAGACACATCACTGTCTGCTGGTCCATCAATGATGCTGAGCACAGCTGCCCCGGCTTCCCTGGGGCTAAATAAAACTCAGTGTGGGAAAATGCAATTTAGAGCACAAATCAAAACAGCCAGTCCCATGTGACCGATTGAAGATTAATCCTGGAATTAAAAATTACAGGTATGCACTTCCTACAATTTCCCCAGAGCCAATAAAAAGACAGACAAGTTTTATTAAAATGAATACTAGGCTTTTAGGCAAACATGTTTAAAATATTATTTCACATTAAAACTTTACCATGCATGTATCATATATGTGCTACTTTTCAAATGCCGTATTATAGATTACAGATTTGTATTGTTGTGCCCTTCTACCAGACCCAAATGTCAATTATAACTATGAAAAAATTATGAATATATTAACAGAAAATTATCTATTTTCTATTGAAATTAACCTGATTAAATAAATGATACAAAAGTCTATTTGAAATGCATTTATTTTATGCAAAGTATACTTACATATTTATGAACTAAAAATAAATACCCTGCAATTTTACTTTTGGTATACTAAATGATATACGTAAAGTTATTAATGCACTGGTCTTTAGTTATCCGTAAGTAGTGCTGAGGTCCAACTAAAGATAAACTTTATGTACCGGTATATTTGATTGCGCAAAAGTGGAACAATTGCAAGTATACTTTAGGTACACTTTCAATATATCGTGCCTTTAAAGATTGACATTATACAGAGGTCATACTGTCCTTATGAATAATTATATTAAAACATATTTTAGGCTTAATATTACAAAATGTGCTTTGTGCAATAAAGAAGTACTCTGAAAAAAGTTTAATTATAATATTTATATCAGTAAGTCTGATGTTTTAGTAAATATGTTAATGGATTTGTAGTATACTTAGTATGAAATAAATATATATTTATATAAATACATTTTGGCATAGGTTTTTTCACTAGGGTATTTTATTCAATTTATAATTATCATTCAAGAACAGAATATTTATACAGTGCATTATCTGCAATTAAAGTGTAATTTTATAAAATAATTAAATAAATAAAGGCCATCACATGCTTTAAAAGACAATACATTATTTGAGATGAGATAGAAATGACATTGTGGTGGAAATGTTCATAACTTTTATAGAGAAATGACAAAAATATCAGAAGTCCACAAAGCCAAGATACCCATTAATGCCCACAGTTGGAGAAAAACCCATACACAGCTTTAATAATTTTAAGAATATTTTATACCTCAACAAGGATTATACTGTATCTATTCTAAGATGCACAGCATAATATGGGAATACACTTTATTTCTCATTAGTGTATTAGTAGTGGACTGTTAGGTTGGAGCTAGGTGTTAGGGTTCAGGTTAGTAGAACAGTTTATTTTATGTTATTTTATATTAGTTGTAAAGTTACTTATGGTAGGATGTCTGTTGAGGAACCATCAAAATAAAGTGTTAGCAGATATTAAGCAGACAGTCTACTACTACTCTAACGAGAGATAGATGACGTGTTGTTGCAAAGGTACTTGTAATTAGTAGAAAGTGGGCCATCAAAATAAAGTGTTACCAAATATGGAAACAAAAGATTAACATCCCAGAATAGCATTAACTCACCGTCCGTATGGCAATGGGAATCCCGGACTCATCCACAGGACCGATGCCAGTATATTGCGGAGCTTTCCCTGTTGTTTCTTTCCTGTCAGTATGTGGTGCTCGTGCAGGAGGATCCACGTTGCCGTAGATTGGGGTGCTAGACTCAGAGGCTGATGGGTGGAAAATAGGGTCAAGTTGGGGTGAGTGAGTTTTTAGTAATTCCCATGGAACGAACCAACATTCCCATGTTCGTAACTGTGAAATACAGCCAGATCAGGGATGCAGTGCATACTGTTATTCCAAATCAGGAGAAAGAATCCATAAATATGTTGATTCCAGTATTTCAGCATAGAATATTAAACATAGAATAGAAAGCAGCTCTAAACACAGTCCGACATGTACAGGCACCCAGACTGAAGCCTTTTTGGGAAAAAAACAGCTAAATGCGCTCTGCAAAACAAAGGCCAGCCCCGACGAATGCAGACGCTCTAATCCTCGAATACGAATACAGTCTCAGCTCCTCCCTCACCCCAACCGCTCCGTCGCTCAGATTTGAGCTTAATCCCCAGTATTTGCCACTTGAGATTAGAGAGATCGCAGCAGCACGCTCAGAGCAGACCAGTCCAGATACGCTTAGTGTCACACGGCCAGTAAACACCGCTACAGTCAGGTCACGCTTTCTTACTCATTAGTACTTCATTAGAGCCTGGCACATCAACATATTCTTTTTACAGCTGTACTACAATACTTATGAGATACACTTGGCGGTACAGGTGTTACCAGGACAGGAATTATTTAAACATCAACAACAGCCATAATGGAATATATGTATTTTTACGGTTCTTTGATTAATTATCAGAGCCATGTTCACAAATTATGCTATTTATTAGGGCTGGGTATCAACAAAGATGTCCTGATTCACAAACTCACAAACTGTGGATTCAATTTTGGTTCACTTCAGGGTTTATTTTAGTTATAATGTTCATTTGACTAACATTAGAAATACATTGTCTCTCTGTAAATTACACAGGTCAGTGTTTCCGACTGATTAAAACTAGTAATGATTTTTACTAAACTTAAAAAAAAACTACTATACTAGGAATCAGCCATAACAAAACATATATAGGAATATACTTGAAGATAAAAATATGATATAATACATTTCCATGTACTGCATTCCATATATTCCATGTAGTTTTCAATATAACACTTATCTAATCTAACCTAACTAACTATCATTAGAGTATTAGTAGACTCTGCTTAATATCTGCTAAACAATTTGTTTTGATGGTCCCCAACAGTTATTCTACTGACTATAAGTAACTTTGCAAATGCATGCCAACTTATGTGAATATAACTCTAACTACCCCAAAATGCCCACTAATCCTCAACTAATACTCTCATGAGAATTAGTTGACAAGTGAATGGTCAACAGAATGTCTAAAGGGGACCATCAAAATAAAGTGAAACCTGCTGCAATATACTGTATGCATGAACCATGTATGGCTACACATTGATACATATAAAATAAGAGTCAGCTTATGAGAGTCATTTGTTCATGATTTAGACTGCTCTGGTCACAGTTGGTCACAAACTGGCCAATAACTTAGCTATCACTATTAGGGAGAAAATGTTTCAGATTGTATACATTTTATATGGTTATATAACCTTTGGCCGTGGTTAAATTAGCCACAAACTGGGATGCATTTTACCAGTTTCTTTGTTTTTACAAATGATGAAATCATATTACTGAATAACTGCAGTACTCACCAGTGGTTCTAACGTGCTGCATGGCTGTAATACTAGGACTCAGTGAAGGAGGAGGGGGGTATGTTGAGGGAGAGAAGGGTCTTTGGAGGTGACTACGAGGACTTGCTGGCACAATCAGACCCCCGTTCACAGTCATCTGGCCCTGTAGAACACAACACAGAGACATTGATATTTGAACAACCTTTAGGCATAATAAATTACATTGAAATCGAACTATTATGCTACAGATGACATCTGTTAGCCTTAATAAAATTGACAGAGGATAAAGAACAGAACAAGGAAAACAAAACCACCAAAGACTAGTAAATGTAGCATACAAAATACAGTGCCCACAATCAGGGAAGATATTCAGGGAGGGACCATGTTCTCCCAAACCTAAAATCTTTGACAAAGACAAAGTGTGAGAAAGACAAACTGAGCATTGACACAACATCAAGACAATCTGTATTGTATGTTAGTGACGATCCTTGAGACCACTGATGCAGAGTTGATGTGAATCTAGAGGAGAGGTGAGGTTAGTATTTTTATAATCCCACAGAAAAAAAAATGCTGAAACCACTAAATGTGAACTTAGTGAAAATGTGGTGTTTGGTAAACTACTGTAGCCCCTAAAATTAGAAACAATCGACAAGTTTGTACAGAGCAAGTAGAAATGAGCTAAAGGACTTTTCAAAGGGATAAGAGAGGGGAAAAGAACAGAAAATTATTGGAAAAGGGTGAGACAGAAACAATAAATATTGTTAAAAAGGTTTGGGTTGCCAATTTTTCCCCCTGAAGTCTCAAGGAAATGCTCACCAAGGCTGGTAATCTATTTGATTAGAAATACAGTAAAAATACCATTTAAAATCACTGTTTTATATTGTAATATATTTTTAGGCAAAGCTAAAATTTCAGCATCCAGTCTTAAGTGTCACATGATCTTTCAGAAATCATTCTAATATGCTGATTTCAGGCTCAATAACCATTTATCAATGCTGAAAAAAGTAATGCTTCTTAATTTTATGAAAACTGAGATACATCTCAGGATTCTTTGATGAGTAGAAAGTTCAAAGCAGTTATATGAAATAATAAAGACATTTATAATGTTACAAAAGATTTCAGTCACTTTTTCAACTTCCTTGCACCCTTGCTATAGTAAAAAAGTAAAAATGGAAGTAGGAATACTTATAGAAACTGACAAAGAAAGAAACAGTAAGACAGACATGACAGAGTTTTGAACTGCCGGTGAATAGTTACATTAGTGGTGCTAGCTGCAGGGAAGTGTAACCACATGTTGTCTGTGACCGCACTCATCTGGCTGAGGGTTGGAGAAGGGGTACGAGAGCCACCCTCTGGGCTAAGTCCACACGCCCTCAATTCTTCCAGCACTGCTGTGGATGCTTCGCTCTGAGTGCGGGAAGAGCAGCGGCTCTGCCCCAGGGGAGGCTCCGAGCTGGGAGAAGGGGTCTCTCGGTGAAGGTCAGGTGCTCTGGAGCTGATGAAATCGAGGGAGAATCTGAGCCGATTAGGGGGTGAGTGTGAGATCAGTGCTGGTCCAGGATAGTTTTGTTTAAGGAGGACTGGTACCTCAGGCTGAATGACAGAGAGGAGAGTGGCACAGATGAGACTCAGCAGTGAGAGATGAAGTGATTTGATGCAGCGAATGGCTGTGCGTTAGAGAGGATGGAGGGGTTACAGATCAAAATGTTATTCAAATGTTGCATTAAAGCATAAGGCTAAAAGAAGTTCAAAACTTGAAGATCACAATGAGGTGACAACCAATTCTAAGCTTTTAAAGTCACATACAGTATGTATTGCAGAAAATATGTACATGTTTACATAAAATATATAACAAAACATTGAAATGCCATGAAAAAATGTTATATTCACATTGTTTGTATGAATCACAGGGAACACATTGCATAATCAAATTACTTTTTTCAAGTAACTAGTAAAGTAACACATTACTTTTAACTTTACAAAATAATGTCTTACTTTTGGAAATAGGCTCATTTTACAACTTCCTCAGAGTTAAACATTTGGGTTTTACCATTTTCGAATGTATTCAGCCAATTTTTTTTTATATTTAGAAGAATATCAGTAACCAGACAGTTTCTGGTCTCATTGACTTCCATAGTAGGATACTATGGAAGTCAATGAGACCAGAAACTGTCTGGTTACTGATATTCTTCTAAATATCAGAAAATTGGCTGAATACATTCGAAAACGGTAAAACCCAAATTTTTAACTCTGGGGGAGTGGTAAAATGAGCCTATTTCCAAAAAAAAGGAGTATCCCTTTAATGAGTTACTTTTTAAATTAGTAGCGCAAATTATTGGCCGACACCTCTTTTGTCCCAATGTTAAAAGAAATCTAGAGTAAGTGCAGATGTGTTGTGTGCACTCTGTGTAAACATGATGGATATTGCAATTCTAGACTTAATTTGAGCATTTACTCATCTTGCATAAAAATAGATTCAGTATTCCACAAAATGAATAAAAACAGCGCAAATGCAAACTGAGAAAATGATGCAACCCTGCTATAATTAAATAAGTTAACTTACACAAATATACTTTATGTATTTAAATTAACTTTATTTATTGTCTTTGCTGCTGCCCTTTGATGATTCAATTAAACCATACTAATAAGCAAAATGACTTCAGTTAAACATCACATTTGTTTAATTTTTTATTGCTGAAGTAAGAGCGTTGAATTGTCTTCTCCTGCATCCTATTCATCTGTGATTCAGAATGATTTACAGCTGAAAGGTTTGTCTGAGCTGTGCCCTACTGTACAGGTGTGAATTTGCATTTCCTTCATTTCACTTGTGGTGTGAAAGGACCTTTATGTTTGCCAAAAATAGAAAAAAAATGTAAAAAAATAAAATAAAAAATCAGTTACTTTTTTAGGGACTAACACAATATTGTAACACATTACTTTTAAAAGTAACTTATATGTATATCAAAAAATATAAATAATACATTTTGATCAAAAATACAGTAATATTGTGAAATCGTATTCAATTTAAAATAAACTTCTTATGATTTGAATGAACCTGAATGTTCTTCAGCAAAATGGGGAAACTGCATTAGTTATGTTTGCTAAACACAGCATGGCATAGAGCAGGGTGTTATTACTGTAAGCTAATGGATATGTGATTATGAAATCCGTGACTTATACCACTGGAGGGGCTGCAGATGGCAGTGGAGCGCAGGGGCGTGAGTGGATATCCGGGAGGTCCATCCTTTTAGGAGGGGTAGGGGGTCTCAAAGACAGTGCCTGTGTGCGACGTCCGGATATCTGTGGCATAGGGTTAATGCGAATGGAGAGGGAAGCTACGTGTCTCTCCAACTCCCTAGATAAAGGGTGCATGTAGGACTGCCCTGCTTGTGACGAGCATGAGATTTGGTCCTCTGTGGACATCAGTCTGTGGGAATGGACACTATGCTCTTGTGCCTGATTAAGGGGGATAGGATATTAGAGCACAGGTCAGAGACTGTTGTTCTGTGGTGATTCTCTCATTAAATAAGGATGTGGTTGCCTTAGAAAATAATCTCTCTAAGATAAACAGTTAATTGTTATAGTGAGGACATGTATAAGGCGGTACAATTCTGCTGTTTACCATCAGCAGGGCACAACTTGTGTGACAATGAGAAAAAAAACATTACACATACAGAGGATATTGGATTAAATAATATTATAAATCATAAATTCTCTGTAGCTAGATAGATAGATAGATAGATAGATAGATAGATAGATAGATAGATAGATAGATAGATAGATAGATAGATAGATAGATAGATAGATAGATAGATAGATAGATGGATAGATGGATAGATGGATAGATGGATAGATGGATAGATGGATGGATGTACATAGTGTTTAGTGTTCAAACTGAGCAGTACACTAGAAAAGGGTGTGACCGGTACAGTTAAAAATGTCAATAATAAAACCTGTCAAATGGTCTTCCACAGGGGTTTCCTGTAGAAGGAAAACCTCCAGCGACAGAAAGGATAAGAAAAACAAATGAGTGAAGTAAACACAGCAGTACATACTGGCGTGGGAGACTTTTTATCCTGAAAGTTGGGCCTGACACTTCTGTAGCCTTTAGCTGCCAAAGAGGAAGAGCACAGGTCACCATTTCTCAGACCATCGTTGGTGCTGCTACTGGGCCTCCACAAATCTAACAGGAGACAAACAAAACCCTTAAAAAACGCTTATAATATTTATACAAAATATTTCACCACAGAATGCCACTATTGACCAGTAAAAGAGAGTAATATGAGAAAGCTGAGCAGTAACAGTTACATTGTTTTACAAAGCATATGTACTTGTTTGTAAAAATAATACAGTAAATAAATAAAATAAAGGCTGCTTACCTGAATCGTTGGATTGTGATTCAGAGTCTATGCACAGGTGAAATTGAGATAAGAGAACTTTTGTTAAACACTAGCAAGAGATCTACTTTTCACAGTGAAATGAGGTACACTCTTAGGGCCTAATTTACTAATAGCTGGTGCCAGTGCAAATCCTCTTTTGGTGTTAAAAAACTACTGTCAGGATTTACTAAAGACATGCAGTGAAAAATATGTGCTGAAAAGGCGTGGACATGGTTATTGTTGCGGCTGACCTTATTGTATTATGCATTTGTAGAAGTTTCACTGGTATTTGCGCCAAAAAAAAAAAAAGCAGGACTTAAACCAGATGCTAATTTGCGCTGCTCTTGATAGATTACGTTGGTCATTATGAAAATGATGCGGTGCATCTGTGTTCTTTAATTTGTGTCATCAGTAGTTCACATGCAGAACTTTCCACTACCATCTGCGTCTTTTTGGAATTGAGCTCTTGCTAATTTTCCCTGTTAAGTAAATCTGGCCCTTAAACATAAAAGTTCTTTATTGGCATTCATGGTTTCATGAAGAACATTTAACATTCATGGAAACTCCAAACGTCCTCTGAACTAATGTACAAAAAATGGTTCTTTAGATTATTAAAATGTTATTTACACCTAGAAAATTATTGTTCTTTTAAGACCTGCTCACTGAAAGGTTCTTTGGGAAACCCCAAATGGTTATTTATGGCGCTGCTGTGAAACCCCGCTTTTGGAATCTTTATTTTAAAGAATATATTCACTCATTACTTATTCATGTTTTTAGAGGACTCATGTGGCTCTATAGTGCGCAAATGTCATTCGTAATTTATTTCAGATGATTCCAGCAGATGAATGTAAGAGAGGAAAATATATGGACGGCATGAAGAAAGAATGAAAGGCGAAGTGGGAAAGTTTTACAAATGAAGGAGGTTTTCCCTTAACATCTGGCAGTCGATTACCACTTCTGCAAACTAATTTCAGAATGGCTCTTTTAAAACACACACTTTAGTCTTAAATAAACACTTCATAAAAGTCAAAACTATTCATTTGTTCCTTTTTCAGTCGCTCACATTCGACGTGACGTCGACGTGACAACGTAATTGGGATCACTTAAGGGAGCCCTATCAACTTCGGGTGTCTACAGAACGAGCCAATGAACGTTGGCGGGTACAATCACTCATTGTCTTTCGCTTCGGAGCCGAGCTTTCGTTTTGACTCTGAGTTTTCTGCAGACTGCTGCATTGTTGAAGACTGCTTAAAGGAAATACAGTGCTGGTGTGAAGGCGCGATCAGCAGTGGGCGCGAGCATTACAGCTCATAACAGCTGTTTTCACAGCATTGCTTGTGTATGTGTGTGTGTCTGTATTTGTCGGTCACGGTGGGAGTTCCTCTCGGAAGTATGTACCCCGATTACACCGCTTCAGCACTGAGAGAGTAATTTTTTCTTTTTTTTTTCAACTAAAAGAGCAACACAAGTGTGACCCTGCGTCCTTTTTAGGATGTCATTCCACTTGTGCGTTTCTGGATGCAAGACTTGCTTACCTCGAAGGAGGTGCAGTCCCCTCGCCTATGCCCTGATCTAGTGTCCATTCTGGACCTGAAAATGGACCTACTTCGGTGCATGGTCAGGGTTATCTGAATGATTACCGTGCAGGCTTCCCCGCCGAGGCAATCTCCTTGGGTCCCTAATGCCTCACAAGCGCTGCTGCCGTTGGAGCCTGCAAAGGAACGTGCAAGGTCCTTCTCATGGACGACAAGCCGTGTCCTTTGGAGTTCCACCTGATGACCAGATGTCTATCATAGCATCGGAGGGGGAGCTTCAGTCCTCTGAAGATGAATAGATTCAGCTGCGTTACCCCCTTCAGGGAGTGTACCATTGCCTGAGTCTGATCCAGATTGGGCGGCTATGCTTTCCCGGGCCACCGAGAAGGTCGGGCTTGTGTGGAAACATCCACCATGTCTTGGTTGGATGATTGGTTTCGAGGGCTGGTTCTCAGTGTGCTTCCCGGTCCCATTCTTTCCGAAAGTGCATGAGGAGCTTAGTAGGACGTGGATGGCGCCGTATAGTGCCAGAAGCCGTCCTAGTGGCTTCTCCCTCCTCACCCCCCTAGACGGCGGAGCAGCGTCTAGGGGTATGTGGATGTCCCACTGGTGGAGCATGCTGTCGTGATGCAACTATGTCTGGCGTCCACTTCCTCCTGGCGGGGCAATCCACACCTCCCGTTCAAAGCATGTAAGTTTTGGTCCGGTCTCACGGCGAAGGCTTACGGAGCCTGTGGACAGGCTGCTTCCACCCTCCATGCCATGGCGCTTCTGCAGGCCCACCAGGCCCTGGCGCTCATGGACATGAATGAGGGGGGTTCTGACCCAGAGCTCCTCCAGGAGCTCCGTGTGGCAACTGACTTCGCTCCCCGAGTGACGAAAGAAACGCCATGCTCAGTCGGTCAGGTGATGTCCACCTTGCTGGTCCAGGGCCAGACAGAGGCCATAAGACACATCCTGCCCCAGCGGACAGCTGCTGCTCTCACCCGTTTGCTGGCCACAGACCCAACATCCGCTCGTCACCGAGGTCGACCTCCTGTGGCGTCCTCCACTCCCGCTAAGCCTCGGCAGCAGCAGCCACCATTCAGGCCTTAGCGTGGAGCAGGCTGCAGGAAGTCGACCACGCCCATCCAGGCTGCTGCCAAACCAGGAGGCAAGCGCAAGTGCAAACGACCCTGAGATGGGCGACCCAGAGGTGGACCAAGTTGCTCTTCAGGAGGTGGTGAAGGCACCACTCCTTCCCCCAGTGGAGGGCCGGACGGAGAATCAAGAGAATTACGGGTCAGTGGTACCCACATTTTCAACAAAAGAGCAATTTCTGAAACCTCTGGGTCCCAAGGGGGCGCACTTGCTGGTCGACAACGCTATGCCTTGTCACCCTCAAGCGACAGCTAACACGTTCGCTAGGTTTTATAGCCTACATGTTAAGGCGGTTTCTTCCTGTGTACTCGATTCAACCAGCCGGTAACATCAAAGTTCCCGCTCTAGTGTCGGCTTAATACACCACTACCCACCACGGAGAGGATACGTGCGCTTTTTGCTCCAGTCGAGTTCCCCACTTCGGCAGTCAGACGTTGCGGAGCGTCTGATGCCAGGCCTAGTGCTCGTATGCTTGTGTAACTTGTGCTAAGCTGGGTTCCATAAGTGGTGATCCCTGCGGCGATCCCATATGAGTACTCTTCCACGACCAGCTCCCTGCGGTGAGCCTGTGTGGCTGGAGCCACCCCAGTGGCATTCTATATGGTGCACAGCTTTTACCAGCCAGTCCATATCTGTATCATCCATGTTACCTCCCTTCGGGCAGGATGTGGCTTCCGCAGGAAAGGCACGCTTTCCCAATTACGTCATCAGGTCGACGTCACGTCTACCGTTCCCTCCTTCAGGGAACGAGGGATACATTAGTAACCGAGAGGATTTCTTTTGTGTACAATGTAACATAAAAACCATTGCAGTGCTACATGAATAGCGGTCTAACTCTGTCCTGAATGGCATGTGTTTGTTTCTCGCTGTCTAATTAAACAATGGAGAATATGCGTGTGTGAGGTCATAGTCAGTGAGACTGCTCAAACAAAAAGGGTCACCCCCGGAGGAAACTGTGCCGAGAGGAGACGGGAGAAAAAGCCTGAAGTATACAATTGTTGCCATGGAAGTGCACAACTATGGCAACAATCTGGTCACAGCTTTTTCCCTTTAAGCGAAGGAAAGGAGAGCTCCAGCTCTTGAACAGTCCTTAACTGCAAGCACACGTTTGAGATGGCGAGCAAGGGTAATAGAGAATAAGAAAGACAGCCAGGGAGGGAGGTTGTGGTAGGACATAATATGTAGCAGGATAAAACACAGATGTTGAATGAGTGACGTTGAGTGCAGTGAAGAGGAATTCCTGCTCACAGTGTCTAAGTAAACACACCGTCACATTTAACACCAGCAGAGTAAATACTCCACTGCTAACATATAATGCTTATGACTAACAAGCAAACATGAACCATTCGTTGCCAAATATAAAAATTTGAATGACCTAGTTTTCAATGCATTAATGTAGTTTTATGGCAATATGATCTATGAAGCTCTATGAGTGTGATCTGTTTCCTGTACGGATATGATACCTGTGAGCGTGCATAGGTTTGGTGAGCTCTGGATTCTCTTCATGGGGGTTAGAGTGAGTAAAAGCGTGGCGCTTTTGCGGATCTGTCCTCCACTGTCTGTGAAAAGTGCAGTAGCACATGCAAACACAAATGCACATGCATCAATACTGCTGCATGGCAAGATGACTGTGACTTACAGCAAGCAGGGTAATGTGAAACATGACCTTAGCAACACAACAATATACATTTCCAAAATAATTTAAGTGCAAGGTGGATTAATGTATCTGTGACGCTTATGTTTGGTTTACAGTATCTACATGTTGAATGGCTGGTTGAGCTGTGCTCTGACTGACTAAATGTTTTTAACTGCTGCTTTTCAGTGTCTTTGTACAGGGTTCCCGCACCTTTTGACCTAAGAATTTACATGAGTTTTCCATGACTCCCTTACCATTTCCATTTTCCAGTCATTAAAAGCATGTGGTTTAAAACAAAGCACAAAAATGTACAGTATATTGTATTGGCCATAGAAATTCATATAACTGTTCAGCACCTGGAAATCATACTTTTAAAATGTACTGACATTTTTCCCGGATTTCTCTGGTTTTACCTTTTACTGCTTTGTCAACACTGTGTATAAGCAAATACAAACCACTCAAAAGTTTGGGGTCAGTAAGATTTTTTTTTTTAAATTATTTTATTTATTTATTTATTTTTAAGAAAAGTAACAGTAACTAAAAAACATTACAGTGTTACAAAAAAAAATCTATTTTAAATAAATGAAAATAGATTTATAAATAGATTGATATTTATAGATTGATAAATGTTCTTTTGAACTATTCATCAAAGAATCCTGAAAAAAGTGTGTCATAGTTTCCACAAAAATATTAAGCAGCTTTCAATCTTATAACATTCAATATTAAACTGTTTTCATCATTGATGATAATGAGAAATGTTTTGTAGCAGCAAATACGCATATTAGAATGATTTCTTAAGGGTTATGTGACACTGAAGACTGGAGCAATAACTGCTGAAAATTATATTAAAATAGACAGTAACATTGGCTTTAAAATTGTAATAATCTTACAAACCACAAACATTCGAACAGTAGAGTATATAGTAGTGTATTAAACAGTGTATTAAACACCATAACATATAATATATAGCAACAATTTTATATTGTGCATTAGCCTCAAAGTGAAAGTTCACCTAAAAATGAAAATTCCGTCATCATTTAGTCACCCTCAAGCTGTTCTAAACATGTATGAGTTTATTTGTTCTGCAAGAAGATATTTTGAAGAATGTTGGTAACCAAATAGTTTCTGCTCCCAATTGACTTCCATAGTATTTTTTTTTTTTCCATACTATGGAGGTCAATGGGGACCCGCATCATTCTCTTTGGTTACCAACTTCTTACTAAATATTTTCTTTTGTGTTCAGCACAAGAAATAAATTCATACAGGTTTGGAACAACAAAGGGGTAAGTAAATGATGACATTTTTGGGTGAACTATCACTTTAAGTGTTTTTTAAGAAGTCTGACATCCAAGGTTGGCACAACCGAATCAGAACCTAAAACTGAGGACATAAATCTTGCAGATTGTCAGGCTGTCAATGTTGGCACTGCCAGATGTAGCCTGATGGGTTTCCTCTTTCCTGACTGCTATACCTCTGGATGTCAAAAATGCATTTTGCATGCCAGACTCTAAAAAGACAGTGTTCTCAGACAAGTCAGCCAAGAAAAAAGAACACCCCCCAGCACAGCTTTTCCCAGAATCCCTGAGATGAATACAAAATCACAAGCTCTACCCAACAAAAACAAGTCCTGTTGGGTCTGTGTGAATGGACAGGCACATTTTCACTCCATTCTGACTCATAACACTTTGTTAGAGTCTATTTTGTGTAAATTGTTCACTGTATTAATTATTTGCAAACGTTGTTGTGGCTGGTAGGCAGTGTTCCCTCTCCTTTTTGTTCTTATTGAGCCAAACCTAATTCTACTGGATGGACCCTTCAGACAGCCATAGTAAATTAATCAAATAAATTAAGTAATTTACAATTCTGCATTTATTACGTAAATATATAATTAATAACAAAAAATGACAGCTATTTTGTAGAGGGCACAAAAGCATGAATCAATGTGACATATTTACAGTACAAGATTCCAGTTCCACATTGAAAATCAATAGACATATGGATGGGCTCTTTAAACTGAAATGTGCAGCTTAAAATTGTGTTTTAAGAAATCTCTAGATGTTAGCAATATATATATATTTTTTTTTCTGGCTTCTAAATTTTTCCTTAATTTTTGTCTATCGGGGGGCAGCATCAGATGTGAGGGAACCTGGTAGCCAGAGGATCTAGCCATTCCCTTACAATTTTTATTTATTTATTTATTTATTTATTTATTTATTTATTTATTTATTTATTTATTTATTTTGCTGTGATGTTACAGTATCATTAAGATCTGATGATGACAAATGGACACTGGCATGGTTCTTTGATATACACTAAGCTATTTTGTTTTAAATGAATATGTTTGATCAGCAAAGATGCATTAAATTGACGATTGAACCATTGACGAAACGGTTTAAAGTAAAGACATTCATAATGTTACAAAAGATTTCCTTTTCAAATAAATGTTGTTCTTTTGAACTTTCTATTTACCCAAGAATCCTTCGGGGGAGAAAAGGAATCACTGTTTTCACAAAAATATTAAGTAGCACAACGGTTTTCATTGATAATAACAAGAAATGGCTGCTGAAAATCCAGCTTTGACGTTAATGGAATAATTTACATTTCAATATAGTAAATTGGAAAATATTTATTTTAAATTGCAATAATATATTTGACTGTTTTTACTGTAAATTTGATCACATAAATGCATCCTTGGTGAGCATAAGAGCTTTTTTTAAAAACATCATTCTGACCCCAAATCTTTGAACAGTATTAGGTAGTAGGTAGTAGGTATATCCCAAAAATTACCATAGCAAATTCCCCAAAACCATGGTGTGTATCATACCGTGTCAAAAAACACGACAATGTCAAAGAACTTTTTATGAACTTTTCCTTAAATGATATCAACCACGCAAACTGAAACTGATTTGAACTAACCTGTGTTCATGTTGAAGATCTCTCCTTCTTGTGTCTTGATGTCACACAGTCCTGAAAGACATATCATTAAGAATCAGTCAGCAACCCGTACTCCTGGGTAAGTAAACCATTGATTTATCCGTGTGTACAGCATGTATGAGTGCAGGTGGAATGGTATTGGCGTCCCATCTCTCCCCGGCACAGCAGCATGCTAGCAAGTGTCTAATGTGGCTGGTTAACATCCCTCTTGGGATATGAGGCCCTGGAATGAAAGGCGATACAAGCCTGGCGTTTCAGCTCAGAAACACGCAGCGCAGTATCAAAATACACACCATACATACACATATATCCTCACGCATTCTCTGATCTTACACATGACCACTTTTGGTGTGTTAGAGCTTAACAACTCTTTAAATTCGTTGCCAGCAATGTACAGCCGTCACAGACTAGTAGGGGGGCTATTGTAACAAATTAAACCCCTGTTTAGTTTGACCTAGATTACTAATTTTTCAGTGATAGATTAACAGCCCATGTGACCCTACTCCGGAAATATCTCACTTATTTTAGCACTGAATATTTCAGGGATGGTCTATGATAGGAACACTGTCATTTAATCACATTATGACATTACTTAACTCATCAGCAGTAAGAAAAGCACTACAAATATGCCAGATAGGAGACACCGTTAGCGTGTGCCCATGTGCAAGACGTATGTCTAGCTTTCAGAGTGCCATGGCAGGCACGTGTGCCACTTGTCACACATACTGTACGTTGACCCAAAGTGTGCTGCACCTGAGACCATCCTTTGATAGTGGTATGCTATGCATTTACAAGTCATGACAAGAGAGAGGCCTTCGAATTTGATATTCTAAACCTTTTAAAGGGATAAATGAAATTTCTGTCATCTTTTACTCAGCTTCATGCCATTGCAAATATTTAAAATTATGTCAGGCAGTGTTCTTTTCCATTTAATTAATGTGAGAAGGGTGACCAAGAATGACAGAGTACCGTAAAAGCATCATAACAGTAGTCCAATTTGTTGTGTTGTCTTTGGTTAGTGTCACCTGGCATCTTATTACTATGTACTTGTATATTTTATTAAAAAAAATTGAAATTTAGTCTAAGATTTATTCTTTTTTATGGAAAAGGATTAGGGCCAAAATAAAACGTTACATTTCGAGAAAAAAGTCGTAATACAATCTTGAGAATAAACTCATTAAATATCGAGAATAAAGTCATGTTTCGAGAAAAAAGAAAAAAGTTTCGAAATTTCAAGAGGTTTTTTTTCCCTGAAACACAACGACTTTATTCTCAAAATTTAATGAGTTTACTCTCAAGATTGTATTTCGACTTTTTTCTCAAAATTTAACGAGTTTTTTTCTCGAAACACAACGACTTTATTCTCCATATTTAATGAGTTTATTCTCAAGATTGTATTTCGACTTTTTTCTCGAAATTTATCTGCTCGTTTTGTGTCCCATCAATGTGTACTTACATTTATGAGTCATTCAATCATTTTTAATTTTGACTTCTCTGTGCATGCTCTTTGAGGTGAACCGAGCGTGGACCCCCTAAACCCCCAGTGTATGACTGACAGACAACAACGGTTTGACAGAAAAATATCAAAATTGAAGACACTGTGGAAACAAAGAAACCTACATCTGACACCTACATCGACCCCCTTGAGGTAAGCTGAAACATATAAAAAATGTATTTCAAAGTGAACTATCCCTTTAAGCTTAACACCCGCACTGCTGTTCGCCATTCTCTTACATTTTATGAAAAAGAGCAGTGTCAACAACAGTGTCAACAACTAAAAACATAATTTGGGGTGACCTCTTTAAAGAAGTTTGTAAATTCTAAAAAGAAAAGGAAAAAAAGTGTACATTGTATCATCAGTTCTGTATAAAGGTAAATCATCATCAGCTCTTAATAAATCATTGAGCCAAACAGGATTGCCCCATGCAGAGTCTCATTAAAAAACAGACCCAGAGGTCATCCTCAAAATAAATCTTCAGACACCACAGCCAATAAATCTGGATAAAAACACAAGGGACAGTTTTGCCTGAGACACCACTGGACTTTGCTAAATCACAGGTTGTAATGAACTGTCAGCAGTAAAAGATTATGATATTGGATTTCAAGGGTGCAGACTTGTGGCGACAGAACAGCTGGAGGGGAAGGGAGCTGGACACTCGCCTAAGAAATGGACATAGCTCCACATTTATATTCATGAGCAGGGCTCACACTGGTCATTTACTTATCTCTCCAAACATTGAGAATCCTTCTGTCAGGGGAAATGTCAGAGGCAGCCAAGTCAATAAGCCATGCTAATTTCCATTGCCATCAATATTTCAATGCGCTCAACAAATAAATAGCTCCACCGCGAAAACGCTCCAAGAGGACATGCAGTAAACATGAAAGGTCCATTTTATGCTAAAAAAATGAATTTAAAATGCTAGAAGACTGAGCATGCATATCAGAATAAGTGTTAACAAAGTTTTGTTTAATAGTTTGCAGCATTTAAGTTCCCAACACCTTAAACTTCTATAACATGAAATGTTTCTCTAGACAGCATAGCCAGAGGGAAGTATTATAGGTAATACTATAGTTAATAAATCCTTAATAGATTAAGGAATTAAAATTCTGAAGAAGCAGATGAAGATTTTTGCCACTTACTGAGCTTGAATGTGAAACATTGAATGGCCTACAAGAGATTAATGGCAGTTTCAGTTCCAGATTGAGCTGCGAATGGGTCCCAAACAGAAATATGCTTTATCGTTATTATCGCAGGAAGTCTAATTCTTATCGTGAGGAGAATTTTTACCGATATATCGCCCATCCCTAGTCAATAGCAATTAGATTACTTTCATTACAATCATTGACGTTGTCTAAACTGAATACACCATGTACTGTATACAGATGCGAGTTCACTTTATGATATACTCCATGCACTTGAGTCTGTTGACAACAGAACAAATGGAAGAGTGGATAAAACATTCACTTTATTAATTACAGACTTCAGAAGGATTCCAATATCAGAAACAAGTGGATGGTTTATTTTAATAGAATTTAAACCAGTCTAAATATTATATGTTTGTTCAGAGCATTTTATTTTGTCTATGAGGCACAGAGTTTGGAAAGAAACTTTTGTTAAAAGATGAAGCAATCAGCTGCATTGAATCTTACAGCAGCAACATTTTCCACGTATGTTTTTGTTCGTTTGTTTGTTTGTTTGTTTGTTTAAAAAAAAACATTATTAACATTGTAAGTGAACCTCAGGGAACATATTAAAATAATTATACCATGACCCCTTCAAATGGGTCAGTTTTAGTATTACAATGTTTGTAAACAACCTGAGTAAACAACCTGAGCCAATTTTATGTTAATTAAAATACACACTCGTACTGTTTGTACATGCATGGTACCATGGCGATCATGTTGCTCTGTTTTGATGGCTTATTTATAGTCGTATTTCTCAGACTTCTGCGTAAGGACTGGACACGGGCCATTTTCACAAGCCTAACAGCCTTTTACCAGTTAGGGATGAAACCATGTCATAAGTAGTCTCCATGAGTAGTGCTCAAGTGCCAGGACAGAAAAAGATTAAAAAGAGCTATGCTGCCAATTTAGAGCTGAGAGAGAGAGCTGAAGGCATTAATGGATTCAGTCTTAACTTTATTAGTCTGTTTATTTGTGATGAATTATTCAATGTTCAAAGGCCAGAATGTTTTAAAGGCTATAATGTGTTGTCTTCAAAGCAGCTTTATGCACTCTAGTTATACAAATATTATTTAGATTAGATTGACATATATATTCATGCAGATATGAAAGCCACAGAGTTAGGCCTATGCAGCAAACATAATTTAAAGGAACATTGCTTCTCCAAAAGTAAGAAAAAAAAAGTGATTACCTTTATTGGCGATAAAACCCAATAAATATATGGTTTGTAATACTTTTAGTGGTGGGGCATAATTAGAACACATCATTAAACAAAAGCTAAAATAGCTCTAAATGGAATGTTCAACCACAGGATACTTATGCACATTGCGCATAATACGATAACAGTAATTGCATTCCCTTTGAAAGCTATGAATTCTGCTGATGCGTATCCTACCTGATGGAGATGCTATTATAGATGTCTTGAAATAGATGTCCTCAGAAGAGCAATTTATTGGTTATATTATGGCTCCTGCCTTTCCTGACTGTCAAAACATAACATTTGAGTAATGGGCTTTCTCAAATCCCCAAAGTAAGACAGTAATATGCTGGATATGTTGCATGTATTCTCCAAAATAGGAAGAATCTCTTTCTTTTCCTCTGGGATTTCCAAACAAGCTATTTATATGAGCATCTCAGTCAGGACACAAGAAGTTCTATGTTCTCCTAAATGGTAACTTCGGAATCACAATTATATTAAGTTGGGAACTGTGCATGTTTGCATTCCGTTTGATGCAATAAGTCCCACACATATTTTCTAAAGCCTCAGATAATTGCTTAAATTGTTCCCATGTGTTTTATTAGTATAATTTAATTTCTAAATCCAGCTCCTAATACAACATAGCTGTGTAGTACTCGAATGGATTACCTAAGAGTGATAAATCATTTGAAACAACAAATAAAGGAAAGCCTTAACTTAACTTTGGAAGAATTTCATTCTATATGTTCAATGGATTATGTTCAGTGAACGGTATAAATCTACCTGGGAAATAGAAGATGAAATAGATTAAATGTTCAATAGCTTTTTGTATCCAAGAAATAAAAATATATACATTTAAACTGATAGATTTTCACTGGATTAAAAAGTGTGACAACTTGCCCTGGTCTCTTCTGAATAATAAAGACGATTGCACTGATATTGGCAGAATGAACACACGTGGCGATCAGTACATCAAAACCTCAAATCATGTCGATAACGTCTCCAAATTTAGTTTAGAGTAATGGGTCAGAGTTGTGCACAACATACTTGAACAACTGCTATTTTCAAGCCTTGCTGATAGAACTTGGTTTATGCAACTTCGAGTGGGTCACAATCCGAATATGGCACGGGCCATTACAGGTAAAAACTGTGAGTCTACATGTTTCTCACTAGGGTTAAATGACTGTGCGAAGTGCATAGCACATGATCTTTTCACAAGTGAAGGGATTGACTTAAAAGAGACCCTTGTGATTAAAATGTTTGTGCCAGAGGGTATTCACAGCCATCCATGTGAGTGTGAGTAGTTAGATATTGTTTAACCGAGCCGACGAGAGGAGGATATTGGGACATCTGCCAGAACTTGAGTGTTTCTGCTGTGATCCAGCTGGTGGAAACAGCAGGTGCCCTTGAAGGGGTCATGTGGCCAACAGATTCGTCGCCAACGTCTCCGTCACCCACTTAACATTTGAACGGCTAGAGATCGAAAGCCACATAAACTCTAAAAGTTCAGAGTTTAAGAGATTCTAGGAAGATTGCTGTTTGGCTACAGTAGTTAATTTCCAGACTTTGCTCCTCTGTGGAATTGAAAGCACTTCTTCAGGATAAGCTTGGACTGCAGTAAAAAGCTGATTGTAAAAATATCAGATTAGACTTAAGTGAGTCTTTAAATAAAATAGATAGTCAAAAGATTTCAAAACCCATTAAATGCATATTCTGGGTTCAATGCAAATTATGCTCAATCAACAGCATTTGTAGAATAATGTTTATTTTTAAAAAAAATCAACTCTTATTTTCCATCAAAATTTTAAGATAGTGAATTAGTCCAGAAACTGCTATTTGAGCTGTACAGTTATATACAGTATATAGAACTTTAAACAGCAAAGGTTAGTTTTTTTTTTTGTTTTTTTTTAACACTAGTTAACATGCATTTTACATCTTATGGTTATACTTTGAAACAGTGAGTATTTTCACGTTTGATTTATTTATCCTAAAAGGTTA